CAGTCTTGAATCAGTGCTAGTGCAGCCTCTGCAGCTCAGTGAGTGAATTCTGGCAGGTCTGAGCATTCACACACCAGGGTCTGTCCATGTACTGAGAATGAGAAAAACTTGTATTTCTCTATGCACTGGCAACCACAAGGTCCATTTGTGATAGTAGTATCTTTTTAAACCTGCTATATACATTATTTTCATATTTTATTGCTTTAGATTTTTGTTTTTATTTGTGTTTTGTTTTGTTATTTTCCATTTCCACCCCTTAAATGTACACAAAAGTGCCATGTGCATCTAAAGCATGAAGGCTGACAGAACACAATATTGTGAAGACCCTCCAGCTGAGGAACGCAGCGTGGAGGTGGAGTAGGAGGAGAACCGGAGCTCATACAAAACCGACAAAACAAAGAGCCAATGGAGAGAGAGGTTTGTGCAGTGTGTTCTCGTGTAAACACGTTTCTGTCAGCGCATGGCCTGCCTACACCATGGTAGTCCCGTATTCTGAATCATCTGTCCCTTGCATGTGGCGTGACAGGAGACAAAGATACACAGTGAGACAGATTCCCCAAAGGTGAGACAAAACCAACCACAGAATTCTTACCTGACCTTCATCTCCTTTTTAAAATATGCTGTGTAGAATGGTATGACATCCCGTGGACTCAGCCTACTGAATGGCATTTATTGAAATGCAGAAAAAGTAACCTACTTTAAAAAGACGTACTATAATAGAGATGATCACCGCATCCTTGAAGTTGAATTGTCAAGAGCCCTGGAGACACCTGGACCATAGACCTGCTCAGAGGATCAGTCTCCAGCGCTTAACGGGATGTGCAAACAGATGATGAGCATCACTGAACATGTATGAGATAAGTGCATACAAAACCCACCTGCCCTGAGTGTAGCTACAGAGACAACAAACCCAACAAAGGCGAGTCTGCTGCTCCCAGCCTGGAGGGGCCACCGCTGCGCCAGTCCATTCAGCAACCGTTTACCTGTGAGCAGTATTCAATAGGTCTGCGCTATTAAAAGCTTTTATACACAAGGTAGTCCATTATTTGTGTGCATGTTTAATCTGGTGATATGGGGTTTTCTGTCTGACAGGAGGAGGCCTGAACAACACCACATGAATGAATATGGGTCACTAATGCAACGCAACAGAAGCTGAACATACAGACCTAGTTGTAGCGGTCTATGACCACGTGTTACCATGTCCAGAGATTCTCTCTCCAGTAAACAGCCTATTAATCTAAAAAAATAAAAATAAATTAAAATTAAAAAAGTATAATATTTATAAAGTAGGCCTTACTGATTTACATATTGTGGAAACTAAAATAGTGCACACAATGTTTATATAGAGGATCTTTATCAGGCTTAAGATATGCTGCCCTCTAGTTGTGAATTGACGCCACAACAAAACTACAATCGAGCTTCTGAAATATGACAAAACATTAAGAGAACTAAAGACAGATACTAAAAACAAAATAAAAAAAATAAATCCAATGATGAAGGGTGCACTGTTTAGTCTTATTTATATAAGGTTGGATGAAAGCAGAAACTACTCTAACAAAAAACAAAAGACAGTCTTTATTTATTAAACGGCATATCTTTCATGACAAACTTACAATGAGAAAAACATAATCATACAACAAATAAAGCAAATAGAAAAGGAAAATACAACCAGGTATCCGCTTGTGGACATCACTAATGAGCTCTGTTTACTGATCATAAAACCACCTTTAATCATTAGTCTCTTGTTCTGTTCATCATGGAATCAAGTCACCGCTGAATGTTGAGATTTTTATCCATCAAGTAATTTCAAGATGCTTTCTCGCTCCTTCAGTGCCTTCCAGGCTTGGTCTTTCTCCTTCTTACTTGGAGTGCGTTTCTTTTGCCGAGCTGCCATAATTCGTCGAAATGCCTCCATGACCTCATTGTCCGCTACTCTTACTCGCTGCCTCAGCTCCTGTTTGCGCATCTCCTCCTTTGCTAACCTAGAATTAAAAAATAAAGAGGAATATAATTACCATCTTTACTTTAAGTTCTGATGTGTCAAATTTGTTCATAGCATCACACAAAATTGAGAAAGCACATAGAGGCTGTTCATGTTAATAAATCTGAGATTACTGCATGGGAACGTTTACTTTCATCCTGTAGTCAAAGTCTTCTTTTTCTTTTAAAACTAACACAAACAACCCATCAGTCACCAACTGTGCCCAAGAGTACCACTGTTTTTTAATGAAAACCTTGCGTTTGAACACACAGCTGACAGCAGTACTTACCGAAGCAGCTCCTGTTTGCGCGCTCTGTTGTGAGCGCTCAAAGCCTTAAGCTCAGTCTGTCTCTTCTGGAGCTCAGCCAGGACCTCATCCTCAGAGTCTCCTGCAGGACCCGGTCTCTCCTCCGAGTCCAGCAGCCCCTGGGCCACCAGCTCCTCTTTGATCCTGGCCTCCAGTGAACGTGTGTGGGGCACACTGCACACAACCACAATACTTTTGTTTCTCGACATAAAAACATCACAGGTTGAGCGGTCAGATCCACTGACCCACAGGTTGGCTGGTGTGATTCCAGCTCCCACAGATGAATGCTGCCGTTGTGTCCTTGGGCAAGACACTTAACCCACCTTGCCCACAGTGTCTGCGTACACTGGTGTGTGAATGTGTGTGTGAATGGGTGAGTGGTTCCTTGTTGTAAAGTGCTTTGAGTGCCTTGAAGGTGGAAAAGCGCTATAGAAAAATGTGACCATTTACCATTTCAATTTCCATTATTGCTCAGCAGTGGTGGATTCTCATCATATGATTTAAGAAACCTTTTGTTAACAGACTAAAGATTTTCACATCCTAGATTGTGCAGGAGTATCTTTTTTAATTAAGACAAACTGCATATTTATTAACATTATAATTTTATTTGAGCTCACCTGAAAGCTTTTCCTTGACTCCGAGGAGAAGTTCCAGCCCCATCATTAGCATCTTTGCCAGTAATGTCTGGGATGGGAGAATCCTCCATAGGGGATATAATGTTCTCCTAAAATAATCACAGGCTTGTTTGATTATGTTTTTCAAAATATGGTTTATTAGAAGTGCATTTTATGACGTTACCTCAACGAGCGCCTGGAGAAGACGCTGTGTCAGAGGGCCAAAAGGACAGCCGTCTTCTGGGGATTCATGCTGAGATTCTGACTTTTTTAGCAGCGAGTCAACATCTAAATGAATCAATAAGAAAAAAAAATAGGCTAGACTAGTCAATAACACACAACTGAAATTATAACATTTTTGTCAGTCACTGTAAATTTCTTTTACCCTTTGCATCAAGCTCAGACAATGGTCCTCCCATCATATTTTTCTTTTTGTCATTGGCTCGTGCTCCTTCTCTCTGCTCCTCCAACAGATCCTCCTGAGCCCATCGCTGAGAATAGTGTTTTCCTAGTGCAGGAATCTAAACAGAAAAATTCACACTGCTAAAGTAAAACAAAAAGTGAGAATTAATAAGATCATTGTGTATTTCTGCCTTACTTTGAAATACTCTGCCTCGTCCTCTGGCGGTTTTAAAAGTTCTTCCAGCAGTCGGATCTCTTCATTTGTTATATCAGCACAATAAGGCTCCACTGATGCCCAGAATCTATAAATAATGGTTTGATCATTGGAAGTCACTTTTAAGTAAACAAACCCTGAATGAGCATGGTGTACCTGTTAGGGGCATCATTTTTTGGTACACGAGGAATATCCTGTGGCTCTTCTGTGAACTCATACTCTTGAACCTTGGGCTGGATGTTTTTAGACTTGGGTCGACCTGGTCCAGGACCTGGTGCATGACTTCCTTTGCTATCCAACTTCTGCTTCTTTGGTTTATGGCGAGATGTGGCAGCAGGATCTGGGTCTTTACCACTCTTTAGAAACCGCTTGTCTCCTTTTTTGTCCTGCCAGTCTGTGAGGATCTGCAATACAGTGAGACAATATCAAAACCACAATTGTGAATACAGGGCTTTTTCTGTAAATAGTTAATGTATGTGAGAGTAGACAATTGTATTTGTAAATGTGCACAACTAACTTAGAAGGACCAAAATTATGGAGTAGATTTTAATAATCCTACCTGTCTTTGTTCTTCCAGAGCTCGGAGGCGACGGCTGGCTGAGGACAGGAGAGTCTCCAGCTCCAGCTGCAGAGTGTCCAGTTCTTCAATTCCGATACCATCATCCTCTGAGCGGCCAAGCACAGCCGTGTAGCGAGGACACACCTTCACGTGCTCCACTGGCTTGAAGTCATAGTACTTCAATGGGGGGCAGTCCTTGAGTTCACTCATGATGCAGACAGGCAGGAAAAGGATGAGCAACACCTATGTGATTTTAATGGGACAAAGGTAAAATAATAGTCAATAATGTTAATGTGAAATGATGAACCTATGACCACACACCCACATTCACGCACGCACGTAAATTCACGTACACGCCATTACTGCAGTGAGGGGCCACTCGGCCCCAAACCGCAACAAAGGCTTCTTATTCTTACAAAGGTCGCTATAACCTAGCCACAATTAAAGTATTGTTTATTTGCAAACCATATTCGATATGACAATTATAAACTAAGTAGTAAAAGGGAAAATAATGTATTTTAAAAATGTTAAGGAGAAACGATTTTACCGTCAGTGGATGGCGTCCATGATGGAATAAACCATTCCTCTCATGAAGGGGTCAAGTATTTGTTTAAAGAGGTAATTCGTTCAAATATATAAATGAAAAGACAAACGACATAAAAATACAATAAAGCACAAACATAACTATTCAAAACTATAATTTAAAAAAAATTACAAATATACAAGAAGAATATCACTTTACATGGTACAACCGGAACAAACCATTACGCTATGCATTGCTGAAAAGATAAGCAAGACTTTTGCTTTTCAGTCTTACTAACTACACAATCACTTGCACGGTGTCTTTTCATGTACTTTTTTCCATAAATGGATGATGATGTGGTCTATTTGCTGATATAGAACAATAGCCCTTGTTTTGTACGCCGGGTACAATGTATGGGCGGAGTGGCAATTGAAATAGAAGGCAAATCGCTTCTTCAGACGAGTTCGTGAATACTAACAAACGCACCCGCGATGTAGGATTTACGGAAGAGGAGTCCCAGGCGTGGCAGTAGAACTTCCGTCTTCTACAGCTGCAAAATGGTAATGTATATGCACTAACTGCTCCCTTTTTCTATTCTTTATAGTTATACAGATCTTTTACAGCTCACTGTAAATGCAGAACAGCACCGTGTTGCTGCTCGGGAGGTTTTCGATAGGTGAGGTTGAGCCGTGATTGACATCACTGACTGAGCTTGCGAAGGAGCTCTCTGATGTTAGAATTGTTGTTCAGTTACTGTTTATGGAAGCATCTGCACAGCTTTTCTTGATACATTTTAGCAGTGATGCTCAGACACGTCTTAACATCTTTTGTTCATATTCAGATAAGCAAGGGATGATGTCTGCAATTTATTCAATCATTTGTGTATTTGTTATACATTTGTAAACCCGTGTGCTGTAACCATGCTATAAACTGAAATGACACACGCGTTAAGTTGATCATCATGCACAGAGATCGCTGTAAAAAAACAAAACAAAAAAATCTTAGAAAGATAAATGAGAGTAACTTGCCTTATGTGGTCATTTACAAATTACAAATTAAAATATTTTAGAAAAATATCCAAACAAATGAATATAAATATAAATATAAATATATATATATATACATATATATATATATATATATATATATATATATATATATATATATATATATATATATATATATATGTGTGTGTGTGTGTTCTAAAAGTTCAAACACATGGACACTATTGACTGTTGTGTTTTGTGCAGACTGCGACTCTGCGTCCATACTTGAATGCTGTGAGGGCCACTCTGCAGGCAGCCCTTTGCTTGGAGAACTTCTCTTCTCAGGTGGTGGAGCGTCACAACAAGCCCGAAGTAGAAGTCAGGTATGCCTCTCTAAGTATGCTCTTGTAGACCCTGTGGTTCGAGGCTGTTTGTAGAATGGCCTTGATGCATGTACAGACCTGTCCAAACTTGTGCAAGGAGTTTTAAAATATGATCCAGGTATGGGCAGGATACAGCGAGCAGATGTCATCACAGCACACAAAAAACTCCATCTAATTTTACCTATAGTTAAAATTTTATTGTATATTATATCGGCATCAGTGAAGAAAGACAGAAGCTCTTCATTTTAGTTAAATTATCTTGTAACACCTGATACTATTATTTCTTTTTTTGTTCTGACAATAGAAGCAGCAAGGAACTTTTACTCCAACCTGTAGTGATCAGCCGTAATGATAAGGAGAAGGTTCTTATAGAAGGATCCATCAATTCTGTCCGTGTCAGCATCGCTGTCAAACAGGTAACTACATCTAGGCCCATACTATGTAAACTGCTTAATATCAGTGTAATATTTTCGCAATCTAACAATTATTCTGCCCCATCTGTTAGGCTGATGAGATTGAGAAAATCCTTTGCCATAAATTCATGCGCTTCATGATGATGAGAGCAGAAAACTTTTTTATTCTTCGGAGGAAGCCAGTTGAGGTAATGTGTGAGGAAGTGAAATCTATTGCGCAAAAATAATTAATAAACAGTTACAAATAATTTATTTATAATTAGTTGTACCTCTTTTTTTTACTTTCAGGGGTATGACATCAGCTTTTTGATCACCAACTTCCACACGGAGCAGATGTACAAGCACAAGTTGGTGGACTTTGTCATTCACTTTATGGAGGAGATTGACAAGGAGATCAGTGAGATGAAACTGTCGGTCAATGCTCGAGCTCGTATTGTTGCAGAGGAATTCCTAAAGAATGTAAGATATTGTTTTTCTAATATTTTATTAAAAAACAAAGAATGACCTGTACTTTTGGTTGTTACTGTTGATACTCTTAATATCACAAAAAGAAAAAGTAGCTGCAGAGACAGTGCTTTCTCCTGATTTGTGGCACTAGGCAAAAACAAATATTTTTGATTTGGTTAATATTTTTTATATTTTGAAAAATATGCACACTTTTTATTTATGAAATAACACAATGTGCACTACAGGGCAGAGCTGTAGAAGGTCCGCAATCCATCACTGGAACAGATCTGGACATGAAATCTGATCAGAATGCTGTGCAAAGCCTGTTCACTTTGTTCCTTTTTTCATAGGAACAAAATTAATGTGGCGTTTTTCTTTGAGTGGTACTTTTGTCTAACTGACTGTACTATAAGTTTCATTAACCATAAAACTTTTGTCTGTTTCCCTCAGTTCTGAAGTTGCCGTTTTCAAATGAATCTACCTTATCTGTAGGATGTACAAGGGGCCAAATCTACAAAGGAATGGAGAAGTGCAATGGACAAGGGCCAATCGGTCAGGATATGAGAGGAAAACTACTCACCTGGCAATCCCAAAATTAGTTTAAATCTCCAGCAGTTTCCTGTACTCATGAATATCACTGACTGTATATAATGAAATCTTTAGTTGTTTCATTTTCTGCTACTTAGAACAAATCCCCAAATCAAAGGCGGGTCCTTAAAAGTATTAAAGTTGATAGTCATGTTTACAGGGTTGTTGGGGCTGTGTACATTGAAAATAGCCAGGTTTTTGTATTTTGTCTATTTTGCCATTATTGTCTTATTTCAAGTATGTCAACATGAAAGAATATGTGCAGTTATTGTCAAAGAACATTTCTGCTATCTGGTAAAAACATGTAAGAGATTTATGATTGAAAATAAAAGTCAAGTGTTTATATATATATATATATATATATATATATATATATATATATGTATTTTGACTGTAAGAATTGAATCACTTTCTCTTAGGTCTGTGGAAACCATGCACAAATATCCACAAGAAAATGTTTTGTATACAAAGCTGCTTCAGCCTTTCGCAGCAGAGGAAATGAGGAAATACTGCAAGTCTTTTTTTACTACTTCTCAGTTTCTGAGGTTTATAAAGTATTTTTTGTTGAAAGTTATTCACAAAGATTGTTACAGTATTAACAGGAAGGCTGAGCTAGTTATTTAATGTATTCACAGAACAGTTATGTTGCTGTCTTGCAAAAAATCTTAGCTTGGATTATACTAGTATATGTTTACAGTTAGCAAAATTTGTGGTGTGGTTGTGTAAATATAACACAATGAGGTCATCATTTTAAATATTTTAAACATGAAGAACGTCCGTATTTATCATACTATTAATGTATGTAATGGGAAGTGAATTGTATAAAAATAACATCTTTATTGTGCAGTGCAGATACAGTGTACATGGGTTTACCATTAATCATTTAAATTCATTCACAAACAATGACAATGGAATTTAGTCTAATAAAATACACATGTAAAACTAAGTCACTGTTAAAAATGCAGTGATAATGATTGGTTGAATCACAATACACTGTTTTAAAAGCAGGTCAGACCTCGAAATTGCAGTCACAGTTAATTAACATGTGGCAGTAAAGTGACACGTATAATTTTAAACTCCAGAGAGTAGCTTAAAGCCTTGTGTCTACAAAGACAAGTTATGGATATTTTAATCTTTGCTGAGCACCACAACAAGTAGTATATAAATATCAACACTGAGGATCTAACACTGCTACTGTGCAGGGCTCTCCTAAAACAACCTACAACTTCAATATAGAAGATGCAAAGGTGGAGGAGGCACATCAGTAGACTTGACCACAATGGGGAGGCAGTGCAGAGAAAATGACAAATGTCCAGTGCAGAGAAGCAGACTGGTGGCATCAGAAGTGAGGAGGGACGGTCTGCAGTGCGTCCTCCGTTGTACGGTGGATGTTCACATTCTACAAAGAAAGCCACATGTTTATTTTATGCTCTTCATGTGCGTAACTATAGAGGTATAGAAAAATCCTAGAAATATAGTGGCATTTACATGAACCACCAAATTTGCTTTTGTGGGTTAGACAAGTACACAGTTGTATTATGGCAGATGTCAGAGATGGTGGGTGTTCATAAATGAAGTGCACTGTTCCACCTCATGAATGAGGGTACTTTACTGCTTCATAGTGCTCATACATGCAGGAGGCATACAGAAGACACCAATATCTCAGCCCGTCAACAATAACCATAATAAAGTGATACTGTTTATAACTAGACAAAAACGTGGACGAGGAATCACGATTATATCACTGGTTGACTGTTATTTATTTAGACCAACACAAACATGTATTTTGACTAGTGATAGTATTAAGAGCTTCATATACAGACTTGCACTTGACGAGATGTGCTCAAAATGACATGTTGTGCAAGGTCGAAAAATGAACATTACGGAAATAAAAATGAACAAACAGGCGTTACATGTGAGTTTAGATTATGAGAACCTCAGTGGGAGCATATACAAATTTTAGCAAGAAAAAGACATTTCATTTTCATCAACTTCATTATCTATATTATCTTTGAGGTTTCAGGGATAAAACTACACTTGACACAAAAACTGTGTCACTACTTGATTAAAAAAATCAACTGGATTCCAGTCAGCTACAGTCATCATCACAGCTTTAGTAAGAAAATCAGTGTTCACAGTCGTCGCTCAGTCTGGCAGGTGCATTGTGCGTCTGATTGCTTTAGTGAGTGTTTTGGGGGAAGTGGGGGGTGAGGTACGGCCTCATTGATGAGCTGGTACTGTTAGCAAAGCCTCCTCTGACAGCCGCCATACTTCTACGTTCTGTTTGACATAATAAAGACACATCACACAATTACACACAGCACAGGATGAGCCAGTCTCTGGAGAAGAAAACGTTTAAACATGGACATTTTTTATAACATTTTGTTTTTCAGAACATCACTTGTGTCACCAATTATGAAGACCACAGGACTTTACTATGAAGCTGGTTGAAGTGGTGCTGGATAAGCTTCTCTTATACAAACAGGCTAACCCAGACATGAGGATAAATTGTAGTACAAAGCTGACTCACAATTTGGTCAGTCAATCCCAGAGGCGGGGTCAGTGCAACTTGACCAATTAGAACAATGGAGAGGGGAGGAGCTGTGTCTTTTACACAAGAACACACTACACTCTCTCTTTGCACACTGGCCACTTGTTCAGCTCATGGCATCAGCTCTGATTGGTCAAAGTCTTCTTATCTTATTTGGGAACTTAACCTGGTCTGGAGCAGGTTATAAGTTCAGGGCATGTTGCCAAAGAGATCTACCCCAATAGAAAGAAATCCAGCTTCAAAATAACCCTCGCTAACCCTTTAATCCATATTCAGATACGTAGTACAGGCCTTAGGTTAAACACTGTTACTAAATAAAACAAAGCATGTTCTATTGGGTTTATTTAACCAAAATGTATGTGCAGTTCTTTGACCTACCTCTGGTTTCTCTCTATATGTGTCAACAGCGTCCACATTTAAGCAGATAGATTCAACTTTACAACCTAAAAAGGTATTTACAAGGTCATTATGTGTAAAGGTAGTAAGAAAGGTAGAGCACCACTCAAAATAATAGTGCTGAATAACATTCCTACCGTAGGCCACTGGAGTCAGCTTGAGCACAGTATGCAATGAGCACTTGAGGTATGGCAGTTCTTCTGTAGAAACAATCATTAATAGCTTTAGAAACACTAACAATACATGTACAAAATTCAAATAAAATAAAAATGGAGTAAGCTTTATGACCAGTAAACACACATCAGGCACACATAAAAATGAGTATGCATGTTGTGAGTAGCCTGATTCATCAGCCGGTTTTACTTTGTTTCACTTCGTACAAACTGTCTGACCTCGCAGAATTAATTCGCTCGACAGTAGGAGGGTACTTTTTATCATTTAACCAATCGCTGCTATTTGGTAGTCACATATGTAATGCGCCGCTAAAGGGGCTAACTGGTATATTAAGCTTTTCCCAAATCTCGTAGGAAGAAGGGCAATAAAGTCTTTACCCTTGATGAAATTCATCAAACATTCTCTTTATTCTGGCTTTAAATCCTCGATCACAGGAATCTTTGATAACACAGAATATATGGCTCTTCGCTGACTAGCTGGTGCCCGAACTTGCACTTCTGGGGTTTTTGCGAACCATCTATTGTATTTTGATTCCTGACCTAGTCGCTGGAGAGAAATGAAATTGAGCGGAGGCACTAGGTGGCGCCAGCCTGGCTAGTGTAAGAGAGGGAGTACAGAAGTATGACATATAAGCATTCCAAGTTATTTTATAGGGGTAACAATCTGAGAATCAATATAGGGCACCTGCAGTTTTGTCCAGGAAATAGGCCAAAAGGCAGCGCATCACAGCCTGGTGACAGATAACCAGAACGTTCTCCTGCCTCTCCAGCTCCATAATAACTGGCTCCAACCGCTGCACTAGGTCTTCATAAGACTAAATACAAACAAAACACCAATACGTTTACTAAAACACAAATGAAAGGAAACCAACAAAAGTCCAAAACCAAAATACCACTGCATGAACACCACTGCTCTGTGTGAGTGCGTGAGTGAGTGCGTGAGTGAGTGACTTATCATCCATGTGTGTGTAAAATGTATTAAGCCTTGGAACAGTCCAGAGGGAAATCTGCCAATAAACCCCAGTATTGAGTTCAAAATCTCAAAAGCCTGATGCTCATAGCAGAATGTAAGTGTCCAGTGTCCATCCTGAGACATTTTTGGTGATTATTTTCTCAAAGCATATCATACACACAGAAACCCGAGCAGTACAACAGTGGTGTTTGTGAGAACGAATAATCTCAGTACTCACCTCTCCCTTTGGGTAGCGATAGCGGTACTTGTCCTGGTCTCTCAGAGCAAACTCCAGAGGGTAGTTCTCTTGGATTTCTTCATACATTAATTCTTCACATACACCCTAAAATCACATCACACTTGTGTTGAACATGCATAGTTTTTACATTTTATTTTATGTTCAAACCAGACAGTTGCTTTAACATAATTAAATCTGAATAAAAGACTGTATATATAAATGGACATAGCTAACTGCCAGGTTCCAAATAGGAAATGTTCATGGAGGCACTTCAGGCTCCATTAACTTGTTTGTTTCCAGTTGACTGAGAAATTGTCGCCCCTTTCTCTGTAAATGCTGCAGAAAGCCTCATCATTTTTTTCACTGTTTTGTCCGTTAATAAATTCTTATTCCTAATATGGAACTCTGCTCCAAATTCACTCCTATAACCACTAGAATCGTGATCTTAATTTCACTGAAGCCGAACGCTATTGGTGACGTCACACTCGCTTAATCCACTGCTTTGTACAGTCCATGGTGTAAATATAGGTAAAAGATACATAGCATAATAATTTATCTCATCATAAAAGTGGTAGAAAAGATGGCTGCCCACTCACTGCATCAATTTCATTTAGGACTTTCCACTGTTCATACGGTACATTCAGCGCCTCTGCAGTCTGGATGGTTCTCTTCATTTGACTGGTCCACACCTTCAGGTCGCTGATGCCCTGGGTCTGGATGAAGTGGCTTAACTTCTTCGCAAACTTCAAGAAACAAGCACAATCAATCTCAGGCAATAAAATACTTATAGTGGTTTGTTGACTGGTGCATACCTCTTTGCCTCTGGGAGTGAGGCCTGAATCTCCTCCAATGCGCCCCTTAACGTTGAGCTCACTCTCACCATGGCGACACAGGTAAATGGAGCGAGGTGTGATGTGTATGTTCATGAGGTAGTACACGATACGGCTCTGGATGTGGTCCAAGACGCGGTTCACCAGATAACGCTGACCAACGTCAAAGATTTTAATGTAGGAGAGGTCCCTGGGAGGCCATCACATAGTTAATCACCAGGGGTTATTTAAATCTCTATGCATCTGGGTAGGTATTTGTTAGGAATTTATTTAATCCCATTGTTATATTCTTATGTTAGGATTAAAAAAATATATATACGGTATTTGTTTATCCTCACCTGTCCAATACTTCATCCAGTGTTTCATATGAGTTTTCATAGCATTTAATTCTCTTCATAAAATCTTCCACTGCATCATCTGAGTTACAGTTGGTGTAATCTGGACTACCAAGTTTGACTTGCTAAATCAAGAATTAGAAACACAAAATAATTAGAAAGACACATAAAATTAACGCACTACATATCCACAGTACATAGACACTCACGACAATGTTCTCTTGTATGACGTCTGGATCTTCACATACAGACTCCACAAAGAACACTTTAAACCCATTCTGCTCAGCAAACTGGAGAATGGTATCCCTTCTTTCCCTAGTGGTATTTGTTGCATCAAAAACCTGGTAAATTAAAAAAAAATCAAAGTAAAAAAATAAATAAAAAATAATATATATATATATATATATATATATATATATACATATATAAGCAATTGTGCAGTTTTTATTTGTCATTTGAGCACATAAACCATACTTACAGCGACTTGTCCTCCACTTGTAAGATACTGCCTAACATCATTCAAAGCAGCTGATGCACATTGTCTACAGTGAAAAAAATATATAATTAAAATAAGGGGAAAGACACTGGGCTGAATCTGCAGTCTTACCTTCGTATCCTTAAACCCTCCTCATTGTCTGGACGAAAAAACTCAAAGGATTTATAGATCTTTACAAAATCTCTCCTGTATTGCCCGACATTGAATTCTGTGCACATAAATATACATATAACAAACAAACACACAATAATAGAACAGTCCATACACAGTAATGTCTATTGTAAAGACATACCTCTCGTGGGCACTCCAATCCAGTTGAGATAGCGAGTCAGCTTCTTGGAGATGTAGGTCTTCCCTCTGGCAGGGAGACCCACAGTTACAATCAGAGTGGGGCAGTTGGTCATGCATACTGAAATGAAAGAAAAGTAAATGGCCATTGGTTATTCATTTGGTTACATGGGCTGCCATCGAACAAACTGTTCAAGGTGTTTATGTATTATGTTCAAAAGAGATGAGTCTGTCACACTTGCAAAACCTATAGGCCTATTATTTCTACTTCAGTCATAACAGCAAACTATCCATAACAGTGGTGGCTGAAACTAAAAGTCACTTAAAGTTTAAATAAACTTGTTCTATTCGGATCAGTAGAAATTATGGCTTTAATGCATTATCAAAGAGTGCAATTTACAGCGCCATTATTATTAGTCTAAAAAGTGTTCAAATAGAGGATCTTAATGATGAAGTTATGTCGCTGGGCATGATGAGGGGGTACCAATGCCCTCTGCTGCTCTGATGATACAGCTGCTTTGATGGAGAGCAGTGAACATCATGTGAAATCTTACGCAACAGTGTGAACCAGATGGCTGCAGAACGACGCATTTAGAAACCGCGAACTCAAATGTTTTCTTTGGCGGAATAAAATGCACTGGTTTCTCTAGCTGCTGTAGCTTAAAGCACGCAAAAATTCCAAACAAAACCGGAAGAAAAGGGTCGGTTGACATAAACTCCAGAAAAGCGACGCCAATCTATAGCGAACAATGTTGTGCTAATCCTGCTATTAGAGAGGCCACGTCGCCATACGCACCCCTTCTTTGAGAAATGTGATTTTCGGGAAGGCCATTTTTACAGGGCATCCAAATTTTCTTCAGTGGGTTTTGGGTAAGTTCCCGCGGGTTTGACGGTGCTTTGTCATCCATTGCTTCTTGCGATGTCAGACAGTCAGCGGGAGCACGGGCCCTTTTCCCGTGATGCTGCTCTGAAGGTGACCGGTGTTTCATCCACGGAGCGGGGATCACGGATGGATGGTGACAGACGGAGGGGGGAACACGAGTGCGCCAGGACGCTTCGTTTGCTTCTCGAGTCACGTGATCCAGTCTGGCCACCCTGTCGCAAAAGAAGATCCGCCGTACTGACGAGAGTAAAGACGCAATTTCAGTGTATGCGCCATCCACGCGTACATCCACTCTGATAGATGTCGTAGGTCAGCTTTATGTATTAAATCCGTGTGATACAAATGGGCTCTGATCGCAAGACAATGAAGAGTAGATAGATAGTATTTGTTTGACATTTTCTGTACACTTGGGGGCAGCATTTCCATCCAGATCGCCTCTGCACTGCGCCTGGCCTACGTTTTCTCTGGATGGCTTCTGAACATGAACCAACACTCATAAACAGCACAAGAAGTGTGTAAAACAAACATGTAACATCACATCGTCTGCTCGGATAGGCCGGTTAGAGCATCTGGCCAACTTGAAGTCTTGAACCAACTTTATTGATCATTACTGAGCACAGTAGCATAATAAACACAAAGAAGATAAATGAAAAGTGTCAAATAAGGTAGGCTACAACAAACATAGATTTCGGTACAAAGTGTAAAGTAAAACATAAGTAATTATACCATATAGGCCTATGGCTATATTTATATAATAAACAGATAAGGAATGGTAGTGCTAAAATGAAAATAACTGCTTGTTGCTTGCATTCTTTCTTTTCTTTTTTTTTTTAAGTATTGAATTTACAACTGAACTTAGATTGCCAGTGCCTAAACCTCTGTAAATGCTACATAGCCTACAGGTTGTCTCAGTAAAGGGACAGGCCATTCAGATTTCTCTCACTGAGCTGCAGAGGCTCCACTAGCCCTGACTGATGCTGTAGGTAGTGAGAATTGAGTTCAGAGAGAGTCTTTTAGGTTTTAAGCATTGAAACTGGCAACTCAAATGATTGTGTTCTGACTGAATAATCGTAAAAAGAACAAAACACCAAATTATTACAAATAGGACATTAAAATTTTTTTGCAATTAACAATAAATCAGCACTGGATTTATTATAATTAAAACTTTTATTTGATTTGAACATGTCCACTTTGTGTCTGAGGACATTGGTCAAGTTTATGAAATTTTAAATCAAAATCTTACATACAGTTCCTTAAAAATGATAGGCCTACTTTAACTAAAACTTATACTGTGTAACTTCTCTGATGGAAGGTCTGACTCCTTCTTGCCTCTATGGTTATTGCTTTGCCTGTAATGCTTCATATGGCATAAACCGTATTAATCTCCATGGAAACTGGACAAGTCAGATCTGCGGAGAGCAGGCTACGGTCAAAGTAAGCATGTTTATATGGTATTGGGATAGATGTACATTTAGAAAGATAAAACATCTGTGACTGAATTGATCAAGAATATAAGATTAATTCCAGGAAAAGAAATAGCTCGGTATTTTTACAGAAGCAGGTGATGGACCCTCCAGCAGAAGAGTGCACCGTATATCTTCAGTAGCTGACGCTGTACTTTTCCCCCACTTTTGCCCATAAGATGGCAGTATAAGGCAACTTGCTATATTTCTACAAGGAAATAAAATCTGTGACATTGTCTATGCCTATTTGTACCCTTCGATAATGTTGTTACAATTAAACCAGTCAGGAAACGCGGGTCAGCTGAAAGCATCAATGGAACTTGATTGATTTGAGCCGAATAATTATGACTCACTATGGAGTCTACATGGAGCAACAGGCCATGTGACCCACATAAGACAAGATACTCCATTCTAATTAAGTAGGCTCTGTCTCAAAGTCCCTTACTGCATGTGGCACATTATTTATAACAGACTCACTAAGTCCACAAATACTTGGCACTCCCACAGCCTACATGACTATACATGAGTATAGGCCTATAATATAATAGTCTATAAGATTGATAATGAATTATCTGTGTGATTTATTCATCTTAATTAAAATTATTTATTGCTAGGTAATGTTTTTTTTGTTTGTTTGTTTGTTTTTTTTTATTTGATTGATTTGTTTGACTTGTTTTATTGTTTTAGTAAGAATACATTTGGCATTCATTTCTTTCTTTGGAAACTAAAATGTCTAAGGCCTATATAAAAAGTGGATTTGGATTTTAATTCAAAAGCATCATATGGAATTTAAGTCTATAACTCTAAACGCTATACAGTAGACGCTTCTTCTGTATGGGGCATGAGGAGAAATTTTGTAGTGTCCAACATGAATAGGAAGTCCAGGACTCCTCCTCCTCAGCTGCTGTCAGCCTGAGTGCAGCTAGCCTTTAGCATCCACTAGTCTGCCTGACTTCTGAGCTAGTTAAAGTCATATACCTTACAACATGCTAATAACACTGAAATACAGTAGGTTCACAAGCACAAGGGACCACGCGAGTAATGGGGACACGTGCACGTCCGAATGCCACATGACAAACATGAGGATGCGCTACAGCATTTATGACACCAGACCAAATCAGCGGTCTGCGGTGACATTAGAAGAACATGCATGCACGCCTTAAGACATTTCCTCAAAAGCACTTCCCAAATTTTGATGAGATGACAGGCATACGCGTTTCTATGATTTAATACAGCTGCCTCTATTGCGTCCTGAGGTGGGTACAGTGAAAAGCTGCGCTGATAAGGAGAAGTAGGGGAAAGGTCTCATGGCACCTAATCACGTCGTGTTGTTTACGTCCTCGAGAATCTCTAGCCACGTAAATCTACCGTTGTGTAGCGATGCACACATCACGGTGGTCTGTTTAAATGTGCCATCATGTGTGCTCCTACCTGCTGGGCTCTGGATGTGTGCGCTCTTGGCCCGGCTGGTGCAGCCTCTCATCATGGGCGCTTGTCTGATGGAGCGCGCGGCTGGTGCTGGAGTGCGGGCTACGTGCGTCCCGTGCTGATGCTCTTACGCACACCCAATGCCCGTGGATGGAACTAACTGCCCTTTTCCCCAAGCCCACCTCCACCTGCCTACCCCCGAACCCTCCCACTGCCCTCCCACTGTCTGCAGCTGGAGGTCCCCTCTCTCTGCCCTGCCCCAGTCACTGAGCTCCCATGACAAGACTGAGGGCTAAATTTAGGTCTTTTACGTGCATATAGGCACTGTATAGCCTGACACCCTGCAAACTCATAGCAAGACTGCTTAAGTTAATTTACTTATTGTTTTGTTCAACAGACTTTAAGCAAAGTCCTAAAAAAACGGCCACTACATGGATATATGGTACAGACCAAAACAATACTATAAGCAGGCATTACAGAACTTGCAAAACATGTTTTGGTCTGGATGGCTATCCTGTTGTATCAGAATCTTGTTGCATCATCGGTTACTGTTAATGCTTGCACAAGTTTGCATCACCTGGGATCAGGGCCATCCCAGTTGCATATTGGCCATACCAATAGTTTAATAGTCACCAAGACAGTGAGTTTTTCCTCTTATCTGCTTTAGTTTTCAGTAGGTTTCTATAGCATCATCAGACATTGAAGCATTACTTTATTTTACATAGCTATTGAAAAATAATCATCTTCATCCATTCATCTTTGAAATGGAAATTGTCAAGCCAGTGGCACATAAAAAGTCCATCTGCCAACAGCAGCTTTACTCCTTTATTTACTCCAAATATCTAGGCTGGATTTGAAATGTGATTTCCCTCGGTTCATAACACATTACCTGTTGAGAGTAATCTAACTTCAAAGGCAAAGCCTAGTGTTGGCTTCACGAAGGGGCCAGCATTTTATTTTTATTCTAGAGGTTCAAAAGCAATTGTCTTAATTTGTGGTGGATTTAGCCAAGCGTTTTAGGGAAAATTAGCCGGAAGTAACAGGACAAGTGTCATACAAACAGATGATCTTGAGTAAAATACTGCTCTGAAAAATCCCAGTGCAACTCTGTTGTCTCTCCCACCTGAGCCTGCAGCCACACAGGCCCCCAGCTACATGTGCTGCTCACTCTCACCAGAACACACCAGTCAGACTGGTATCACCCTGCTCCAGGCACTGCTTTATTTTGTCCACATTTGTGTTTATAACTATAAGAAAAGATACAGTTATTACAGTTACTTATTTATTTGGTCATTCATTTTGTTTCTGTATTTACATTGTGGATTATTAGTGTAGGTAACAATACAAAACTAGAAAACAAAATGTACTGAAATACTAACTGTTATGAAGTGGAACACATCTGGTCTCCGCCGTCTTATATGTTATTGTAGAGTCGCATGCTGTGTTCATAGAGCATTTTAAAGTGTCTTTAGACAAAATGGGTGCTGGAGAGAGCAGTGTCATCGGTAAAGACACTAAAGAGAGAAGTAAATGTAAACTATTCCAAAACTGTTAACTAATAATGACCATTTTGTGTACTGATGATTTCTGTTTACCTACCAGATGCAGCTGGTGTATTGCAGTTGCAGCATGTCAAATTTACCTGTACGGTGGAGTTAGCGGAGGTCAGTGAGAAGACTGGTGGTCCTGTGGCTGGACACACACTGGAGGACACACAGCCTTCAGTAGAGAGTGTAGTGATGCCTGGAGGTATTGAAGAGAGGTGACTGTTACTGTTCTGTACTGAGATAATGGCAGAAGTCTGTTTATCAAATACAGTATATATCAACTCTACTATATTTTGATATCAGAATTCACAAATGCGGCCTCTATCCAATAATTTGTGTTACTGACAAAGTCCAATATCATGCTCTACAAATCCACACCACATGTATAGTTTTTAAATACTTTCATATATGACCACGGTTACCTCTGAAGTTTGCAGAGAAGCACATCTGTCTGTCTCTGCATGACTAGTTAGAGTGACAGGTGAGTGCTGCCCTGGATAGACAAAGAAAAATTTACATTTTTAGTTCATCTTAGATTCATATAGACTATGAGAGAACAGACAAAGACTCAACCAGAACTAAACCATAACAAAATAAGTACTATGTCTTGACCTGTATCAAACCAAGAGTTAACAAGATAAAGCTGTTATCTATACTAAACCCAGACTAAACCAGGTCTAAACAAAGGCTAGTTCTGAACCAGGAATGAGAAATAGTGAAATCTGGACTACATCTGCAAATCTGCAACTGAATATGCAGTGTATGTTACCTGAGAAGAGGAAAGCCAGAGTTAGGACCACGTACAGCATCATGTCTCACCTGTGTGTTATGCAGGAGGCAGTGGTGCATCCTTTTATAGCCAGTAGGACAAAGGATGCAGTTCAGAGTGTGACAAATGCTATGTTTAGATGTATAAAAAACAAACAAACCCAAAGCCCAAACTGACTAGATTATTAACCCCTCACAATTCCAGCCTACTTTCCCTAAAATGTCAAACTAACTGAATCTGTTGGAGCACTTTGGAGCACAGACAAATGGCTAGATTCTTTGTGAAGCTGAGGTTTTGTAGTTTGTACCTCTGCCTTCTGATCTCATTTTAAGTGGGAACAAGCTCTAGACAAAAGAAAGTCAGATTTCAAATTGTGCCAGAATTATGTGAGGTAAATATAAGAATAGGTCTTGGTGTCTCTGGTATGTTTTTTATTTTTTTATTTGTGGGTTTGGAGTACAAACTAATCCAGATTCTTCTCTGAATGGTTGATTTGACTGAAAATAAGTGGGTTACAGATTTCCAATAATGTTTTACATGCCCATGAGATTGATAGTTCCTTTTTACCAGAAGCTGGACAAACAGAAATTTATTAAGATAAGGTACAAGGGCCCGTGTCAGCCCCCTCAGAACAAAATATAACTTTTCTGTTGGGGGCTTCACCATCAGCTTGTCTCCATGAAGCGATGTTGTTAATTGTCTCATTTGGCATTTAAACTAGCTATCTAATCTACTGTCTAATCTATCTTGTATAAACAAACAAACAAACAAACAAACAAATAAAATATATGCATACATCCTGGTTCCTTGTCTCACTCAGTTTGTTTGTTTTTAGTAAGATTTCACTTCCAAATAGAATTGTTCTTTGTGGCTGGTTGTGTCAAGAACGGAAATAGTGAAAAAATTTGACAAACTTGAAAACACAATTCTTCATTTGCGTTTTCAATAACAGTTGATGATTTTGTGCATGTGTTGCCTTCTCAACACTTGACCTTTAACCTTTTAAATGAAATTGTGTCCATTTCAAACCCAACAATGTTTGCTACTTACTAAAAAGGAGTTGTCAGACAGGAAACATGACACAAATGCCAAATGGTTAAGATGTTAGTAATGTCAAATATTCAGTCTAACGTGACTTACTTTTAAAGAATCCTTAACTACAATCACGATCACTTGATCGACTATTCTGCATTTGTACTCTTCAGTTAAGGACATTTTATTCTTGACCCACTACTTCAGCAGCTTAACTTTGAAGACCATGTGATCTGAAGTGGGCCAAAGGTACTGGCTTTATAATCTAACCATAATAATGTTGACCTTTCAAGCGTCAGATGCCAGCTTCCAAAAATGATTCCACTGTCTATATTTATAGCCAGCTCTTGAGCCTAAGCAACAATACAATGTAAGTCACTACAGTGAAGTGCTAAACACACTGTTAAAAAGTACCAATTACATACTTATGCAGACTTCAGATGGAATATGGAAATGCACGTGTGACTCTAAACCAAAGCCTATTGTTTCCTGGGTTAAACATGCAAACAAGAGCTTTCATAACATCCCCTATCGTGCTGAAATGTCTAAACATATGCAAGAAAAGACTTGCCAAGACTATAATAAAATGATCATTACACTGTTGGATTTCTAATTGAAATGAGTTATTATTCTTTATCTATAATGAGATTTACTACTTCTGGCTTTCCATTACTGATTTTAATACCCTCTATGCCACCAAAGCCATTCAATATGCTTATTTCTTAGTTATATTACATCTTGCCTGAATTTGTTTCTAAACATAAAATAATTTAAGAACCATATTTCAGTATTTCTTGATCTATATTATAATGTCCTCATCACAGACATGGAGTTGTGTTTTGTTTCAATCACATGTTTAACACACAAACCCTGCATCTTTAGGTTGAGTTCTTCTCTCAAACAGAAAACACTCTTCCCTCCTTGTGATGTCATGTGGTAATACAGGTTCTCCACTCTGTGAATCACTGGGATCATTTCAGACCTGTAATTGCAATTGTAATTCAAACATTTATGAATGAAACTTAACACAACTCCAGGTATGTTTTTGAGGAAGTAACAGCATTATAACATGGCTTAAAGCTTACAAGCAGTGTTGGGAAGGTTACTTTTAGAATGTAATTCCCTACAGATTACATATTACACACCCCAAAATGTAATTTGTAACGTAATCCATTAAATTACTTAAAGTGAGTAACGTAATCTGATTACTTTGGATTACTTGATATTGTCATGTTTTTTTAAACGACATGAATGTACCAACCACATCCTCAAAATTCTTGTTTGTTGTCTTCAAATTGTCTGAGCCCAAGTCTCCATGAATAAGCAACTGTTTGCTGTAGAGAAACAAAGACCACGAGATCTTAATATAAGAGGTTTTGTCTGTTAAAAGACAGTAACAAGATCAGTCTTTCCTTCACCAGATTAAAAAATATTATTGATAGAGAAATTATATGAGATCACCTTAAATTATGTCAACCTACTGTTAGGTGTCATGTTGTTTAGACCTGGTTTAGTCCTGGTTTAGTCCTGATTTTTAGACCTGGTCTAGACCAGGTCTTTAGTTCTGGTTTAGTCGTGGTTTAGTCCTAGTTTAAACCTGGTTCAGTCCTGCTTTTAGTCCTGGTGTTAGTCCTGGTTTAGTCCTGGTGTTAGTTCTGGTTTAGAGGCGCACAGGAGGAAGCGCGGTTTACGCGAGAAAACACGTTCCACACGCGGCGCACGAGACGGCGGTGTCCGCGCTGTAACTACGGAAGGAGACGTGGTCCGCGCGTTCTCAGGTTGATGACGATGATGAAGGTGTTTGTGTGTGTTTGTGTTTGTGTGTGTTGGTGTTTGTGTGTGTTTGTGTGTGTGTGTGTCCTCATGTGGCAGGTCACTTTAGGACAGTAGTGCAGATATTATGAGTCTATGCAGGTTGTTTTCACCAGGGCCAGTAGCTCCTGTTTCACATTTAAGTTGTAGGCGATTTTATATTTGTTTTTTTATATATATCTCACATCGGGAGAAGAATTTCCAAGACACAAATGCGTTTTTACCAATGCACTGCTGCTTCCACTGTGTGACTGACACCGCCAACTTTAACATGACGTTTCCATCGCTATTATTGCCACGTTCTGTTTGGGTTTCCGGAGTGGAATTACCGAAATAAAAAAATAAATAAATGGGATGTAGCACAAAATGTGAAAACAGGAAAATACCGCCTTGTAATCCACTTATTTCAGCAAAGTAACTGTAATCCAATTACCACTCATTGAAACAGTAACTGTAACGGAATACAGTTACTCATAATTTGTACTCTGATTACGTAACGGCGGTACATGTAATCCGTTACTCCCCAACACTGCTTACCAGAGTAAATTTTATATAATATAGGATCTTTAAAGTAACTAATAACATTCAAAATTGTGGAATATTCATATTTTATGTTAATAACCAGTAAGCATTTTATTTATAAAAGCTGAGTAAATGCAGTTGTGTCACTACACAAGAACAGTTCAAGTTCTCATTGGTCACATTTTTCTATAGCGCTTTTCCACCTTCAAGGCACTCAAAGCACTTTACAACAAGGAACCACTCACACATTCACACCAGTGTACACAGACACTGTGGGCAAGGTGGGTTAAGTGTCTTGCCCAAGGACACAACGACAACATTCATCTGTGGGAGCTGGAATCACACCAGCCAACCTGTGGGTCAGTGGATCTGACCGCTCAACCTGTGATGTTTATGTCAAGAGTGGGATCTGAACTACCAACCTTCAGATCAGTGGGCGAATGCTCTACCAACTGAGCTACTGCCGCCCCATGTACCATTAAAGCCCATAGCAGTTAGTGTTGGAGATAAGTGTTAAACCATCTTGCCTGCTACTCTGAACTGAAATAGAAGGAAGTAACAAGCAAAAGATTGCACATAAATTAACTTGACGCAAGTTTAATGATAAAGGCAATCAACAGAAAATATTAAGACAATACAATCAGTTTTTCAAAGTCCACATTTTTGCCTGTGTCAAATTTACACAATATATGGATACAAAATAACTTCACACAGCCTTTGTACTCGACACAGTATCACAACACCCAAACAACACGCATACAACGTACAAACAGCAAGAAATTAAAATACATAAAATATACATAAAAATATTGTAAATTCATATTATTCAATTAAAGCCTACACTACACACATGTCCATTGAATCCTCTGCAGCAGGGCTTTAGGTTCACACAATTTTGTCTATTGACTCTGACAAACAGTGGAGCCGCCCTTTCCACCTGCAGCTGCTTTTTTACGCCTCTTGTTTAACAGTGGGTTGCTTGATGTATCCAAATCCTTAATTTTCACCTGGTCATAGTCCACACGCATTGTCGCCAAAGCACTGGTCATTTCCTCCTGTAGGGTAGAAGCATATCGTTTTGTTATTTCTCATACATTAAAATCAATCACAAACATAAAAGAATTGGATTTTTTATATAACAGCTACAGTATTTGCAACAAAAGTCATGTACAATAGCTATATATTTCCTCATTTGAACAAAGTCAAACTTTTGCAAGCAGGATGTGAAATGTATGACTTTCTCAACTTTTCATTGCTAAACGGAGAAAAGCTAGCCTAAACTATTGTGTCAACCTCTTGAAATCATATCAAATGTAACAAGTGAAGGAATGTCCTTTCCTATTCACTTTTTCAGTAGCGAGTCAATATAGGAGGTGTTTGCTGATGGAGACTTTTGGTAACCGCTCTAAGGAATTCACACAGCAGTGACTTGTGATGACATCTTTACAGTGTTGTGTAAACCCAATCTGTGTTGGAAGCACAGGCACTGTGGGTTCATGTCTGGGTTCTGTTTTTGAACTTGGCTCCCCCTAGTGGCTGGTAAGAATACTACACCAAGTAAAGTAGAGCTTTAATAGTATAATGCTTCAGTTCTTTTTCAGATGTGCAAGGTAAGGTATAAGTATTCTTTATTGTTACACATAGACAAAAAGTAATTCTTGGGCAGACACAAGCATAAAGGAAAGAAAATAAATACACTAACATGGCACGGGCACATGGTAGTTAAACGGTAATTAAAAGAACCACCTATTACTTTTGGTGGATTCTTCCCTTCCCCTTAGACACTCACACAAAAATATAAAATGTAGACTCAGAAGATGCACATTAGACCACAGCAGAGAGTCAGTTTCAGTTTTAAATCGGACTTGGAATACTTTTTTGATTCTCATAGGAAATTATCCACTTGTTGCAGTTCCAAAAAACTGAGCTGATGTGCTAATAGTCCTTGATTAGTGGTTCTCAAACTGTGGTACCTAGATCTGGTGGCCAAATATTTCCTTTTCCTTTAGGTGATACTGTGTGAGATGTGTAAAATCCATAGTGCAGGGTAGTTTGAGAAGGAGCCAAAGGGAGCTATCTCAAAGATCTGAAGCCATAAACTGTCATGAGACAGCTGCCTCTGATGAACTTGGAAGCTGCTAGAACAGTTTGAAAAACCTAACTATAGTGGAGGAGAGTGCCATCATTTGGATGTTTGCTTGAACTCCATTTGATTGGAGATTGGATTTACTTCCAAACTAGAACGAATTAAAGTAAATGTATCTGAGAGTAAGAAAAAACTGTAATGCCAACAGATGTCCAGCAGGTGTCAGACATGCACTAACCTTAACGTCTTCCCACAACTCCTTCTCTTCAGTCAGGACTCTGGTGGTGTGGAGTGGAGTGGATGGGACCACCATGGACTGCTGCATGTAATATGTACACATACATACATAATGTTAAGAAATGTTGGTACAGAAATACACAGAGGAAGAGGAGGTCTAACGCTCACATTGATCCAAGGATGGTTCATGAACTGCGTGATGGTCATTCTCTCATTGGGGTCGGTTTTCAGAAGCTGGTTGATCAAGTCTTTTGCTGCTTGGAAAACACAGAAAAGTGGTAGTAATACACTTAATTAATGTATGTGTACTTTATAGTATTATATTATAGTATATTATTATAGTATTTTCATATTTGTACTTTTAGCAGTCAAACTAAATTAGTACATATACTGTTGCTGTAACATTGTTATCCCAACTCCTTTGGAAAATCTTATTATCAAACCATGTTAACTGTAATTTGTATGTTTTGATGTAATGTGTCCTCTCACCCTCTTGGGACACCTCGGCCCACTCTGGGTTTGGAAACTCATACTGGCCCATCCTGATGCGTCTCTTCATCCCAGGAGAAATCGCTTGGCCTGTGTTGGAGTAAAATGGTGGGAAGCCACAGAGACTGGAAAATAAATGGATTTGAAATTAACAACACAAACAAGAACAAATGCAAAATGCATTAGCACAGAGTTTACTCACAGGATGTACATAATGACGCCCAATGACCACATGTCACAGGATTTGTCATACTTCTCTGGACCTAAAACCTCTGGAGCTTATCAGTCAAAATAGAGACACAGTTATTAACAAAGCCCACACCTCTTAGATTTACAAATTAATGACAGGTTTTCATGTTTTCTAATACTTTGTTTGGAGAGATGTTACATGTGGTAAATATTGACCGTGGTATGACACCAGACAAGAGGCCATTTGTGGAGAAAAAAATGTATGATTGAAAATGGAGGAATTCCTCAAACTGCATTACACAAAATATCCTACAAAATGCAAAGTCAATTTACAAGCAATGAACAGAATTTTGAAACAGTTTAAATAATCATTTGTTTAAAGCCTTGTTTACAGTATGGTTGCTACATATTTTATCTGTTGAAACTAGGAAGAAAAATTATAAACCTCTCAAAAATGGTCAAATTAGAAATAACTCAGTAGGATTTTAGCCAATTAATAAATATAATGATAATTACATTTTAGTGACATGGTTGGTCTACCTGTCATGTGCACTTTAACTACTCCACTTACCGACATAGTACGGCGTATAACATGGCGTCTGTAGGGGATTGTGTAGTGTTGTTTCTTTAGCAAACCCAAAGTCGGTTAGTTTTAGAACTCCATCCTTTTCCTTACGTGTGTATAAGAGATTTTCTGGCTGTAGAACAAATAGGATATAATAATAATTGATCCATAAACTATCAAAGCTAAATCCATCTTATATTTACTTTGATGTCCCTATGAGCAATGTTAATGCCGTGTAAATAGTTGATTGCTGTGCCAATGTCCCTCATGATTTCAGATGCCTCTGGGAAACAAGGAAACATGGTCACTGTCTTAAATCAAAATTCCAAAATACAGGAAACATTTTAGAGCTGAATTGAATGTATTTACATGTCCTCACCTTTCTCTGTGAAGGCCTGGTCTCCTCTGGCCTGGATTCTAGTGAACAGCTCTCCCCCTTCCATACTGCAACACACACATTGACACAACATTACTGTGTTTGTTTGGTGAATTTGTGAATTATTGTCTAAAGGTTTGGATGACAATGATCTAAAAGCAGGGGTTCTTAACCTTTTCAATCTTGGAGCCCGACTTTTTCTGAACAAGGTAACCTGGGGCCCTATCTCAGAGTAAATGCATTACATTGAACTGATTGTGCGGTTCCCAAGGAGGTGGTCCCAGTCCTACTTTGTGCCCCGGCCCTATGGTTAAGAATCACTGATCTAAAGAATGTGGAAGCAGAGCTATTTGGGAGAAATCTACATTCTACACACATACAGATAAGCACAGAGACCTCTGTAAGTAAGAAATTGTTATTATCTTCTTATTAGATCTTACTATAGACCCTTTAAAAAAATGTAAACCAAAACATTCTAAATATCGGAATGGAGGCGGCTGGAGGCAAAAGTGAAGTGGGAACATAATGTGATTTCAATGGGAAAACTGGAATTGACCAAATTATGAAAAAGGGAAGAGGGAGATTTGGCAAATGAAAGCCACTGAAATACATGTGAGTGATATCAGAGCCTGTTTTAAAAACACTTACAGCAGTGTTTTAGTTTGTTAAATTTTTTGTGAAGCTCAAATACTATTTTGAGTTTTTTCCATCATTCTTAACAGACAAGCAAAGTAACTAATATTTGTACCTTGTAAATTCAAAACTGTTGTTTATTTTTTGTTATAATGTTGTAAAACATCAGCATTTAGATCTGTTCATGACATGACGTGACATTCTGTTCAATTCTCAAACAGACGTTTGGAGCCCCCTGGCGGTTGTTTAAAAGAATGTAGTCTTTACATTAAAAATGTTTGGAAGAATAAAAACAGTGACAGTTACTACACTTGGAACTCACTGATCTGTTTACATACGAAAATGGACTGTAAACGAGCTTTTGACACAAGAGCTGGCTAATAAATGAGCTGTTATGAGCTTCAAGAAGCAGCAATAAGAACATGGATAAAAGTCAAATGAGGTTAATTTGTCTTCTAATAATTTATTTTATTAGATTGTTTTTTTCAGACCAAGGTTGTTTTCATACTGCTAGTGAGCAATTTGAACTGTCAGGTATGAAAACAAACTAAACCTTGGTCTGAAAAAATAATCAAATAAAAAAGCAGCATGCATAAGACTAAATTCTCTTGTTATTTACATTTGTCATCATTAATATTGGCACAAGTACAAGTTTTGGGAACCTCTGACCTACTTTAATGTAACATTGTCGACTCATATTTTCCAACAGAGTGTGTTTCAGTTTTAAAGAGTGCCTCCCACTCGTTACTTTCACAACTGTTTTCAAACATCCTCTCTCAGGCAGTCCTTCTGGTGGTTAATGCATTTAAGTCTCTAGTCAGGAAGTGGCCTAGTGATTACACATTACATTAAATAGAGCCACCCTATGTCACAATAATGTTGACTCAATTCAAATATTTCATGAATAAAAACAGTTTGTGACATTATGGTTCAATATAATATTATCACTGTGAAATAATGACTATATAAGGCTGGATACTATGAACACACTGCATTTTAGTTATGAATGACTAATTCGTACTTTATGGTATCAACTTTTTTCAAAAGCGCTTTATGTATGTATGTATTTAGGGTGTTAATGGCACTGCACTGCTACCAATGTCCTTTCATAGTTACACATATACAGTAGATTTGTGAAGGCTGTTATTGTGTTTTTAGTTTGTGGTTTGTTTTTTTTTTTAGTTTTTTTTTTTTTTTTTTTTAGAAAAGCTATAATATAAAGAAGCAGTTGTTACACAACTAAAACAAAATATCATCTACAGTGTATGCTAAAAGCTGCTAAAAATAGGGTCACTTCATTCACTGTCCCTTTTTTCAGCCCGCTGTGTTCCTCTGACTATGAGCTTACCACTCCATGATGATGAGCAGGCACTTCTTCCCATGGTGCATGTTTTCGTACAGACCCAGGATGCGCACAATGTATGGACCTCCTGACACTCGGCAGTGAAGCTCCACCTCACGCCTGGCTTTGGGGCTATCATATAAAATCTGAGGAGAGACAGGGAAAACAGACATAAGAATTACAATACAGATGCAAATGTATTTACACTTAAATACATCTCTGCTCACATAATGTATATGACACTGACCAACCAACTCTAATGACTCCAATTACTTAGTTATTCCCATATTAAGTTGTTTCTCATCCGACATCGCAAAGTTCCTGAATATTACAGCGTGGATCATTTTTATTGTGTTTTTGAAAAAGAAAAAAAAAGTTACATTAAAAACTGACATCGATCAATATTAGGAAAAATATTTTTTGCCATACTGCCCAGCTCTATACAGGGACATCTAGGAAAGAGCAGGTCACATGAGCCGCAGCAGGTGGCAGGTCCTGACATAGGGTTCCTCATCCGTCACACTGTATTTTGGGACATGACAGCTATGATGAAGTGATCTGCAGAGTTCAAGGCCTGACTGACTCACTCCCTATGACAGAGTCTATCTGGAGGCGACAATATCAGCAGCACAAAGAAGTAAAACATTTCTCAGAAGAGAGATTTCTCTTCTTTTTATATAGCATCAGTACTACAACATTTTGAATTAGTCTGATTAAGAGCCTGTTAGCGAGAAAATCATCACGAGAACGCAGCACAGGTTCAACTTTGACTTTTACAGTTTTATGACCCTTATTGAAGCAAACAGTGTAAGCTACAATAAAATATTTATCTATATTCCATTAATAAGTATGGACCTGCTAGATTAACCAAACTAAATTTTCTTGACCTGATCTGACCATAAAACAATGGTTCCAAATTACACAGCCAAGCAAAACATTCATTACATAGAATAAATAAATTATCTCACCAGTGACTTTTTTATATCCAAATTATCTTATTAACCAGTGCTCATTGATACAGTCAAGACAATGTAAACAGCAAGTTGTTCTCTTTGGTGGTCATTAAAAAAAGCTAATTTAAGCACAAACACAGAATTTGTGCTTGAATTAATGTTATTCAAAAGAGTGGCATATGTATGTATTGAATATATCGTTTGTGTCTGTGATGCATTTGTGGATTTAAACTTTTTTATATATATATTAAATTAGTCTCAGAAGGTTTAGTGCTCACAAGGAACAGGAAAAAGTATAATCCTCAGATTACACCTTCAACACTTCACTGGCTATATTTCCTGGCTGCACTCATGTGCCTGTATATGTCACTGCTATTATTATTATTATGCCTCATGGTTGCACTGTCTTGTCTTGTGATCTTGTTAAAATAATGTACAGTGGCAGTATAGGTTTTATTGGGATTTATGGTGGTACCAAAACAAAATTACAGTTTATTTTGTTTGTTTAATTATGTTCCCATTAGATAGGTCTACTAATATTTTATAGTACTACAATAAAATAGCATTTCAGGATACAGGTTTTTTTTTTTTTTATCAAGTCAGTCTTACCACTTACAGCAGAAGAAGTAATTTTGCTGCCTATTATATTAACATTTAAAACAACTGAACTACAACCAAACACGTTATGTTATTATGCAACCATACATATACACAAAATAGATCAAAATGATTCCACACATGAAGATTTCCCTTATATATTGACAGTGCAATGATCAGATTATGTCATACAACTTTGAATAGGGACTAAGACTACAACAATGCAACCACATGAGCAATAAAGGTTAATGAGCAACACTCACTACAGTCTTTAACCTTATGAACCATTCACGTTAGGCCCAAAGAATTCAATATAATTTGGGTTTTGTTTAAAGGTCACACAAACATGAGTTGCTCTGTGTTTCCACAATTAAATGAGGCCAGTAAATGTGATGAATTCTGTTGGCTGTGCTGAGTCTGAATGAGTTCTAATCTATATTATCCCATAAATGAGTGCTCATTGACCAGACACATAAGAGTCATGTAGGACTGTGGATGTGAGATTAGCACTGTTGTAGTTGGAGAAGCCCTTCCTGTGTTAAGCTTGGGCATTAGATATGAAGCTTTGTCCATCGCTACACTCAACAGCACATAACATTTAATACACTGGAGACTCAGAAATCTTTATTCTCTAAAAGTAAACATTACGTATAAAGATGTAATGCTCAGTCAAATGTATAATAACTACATACACAACATATTCATATTAAATAGCACTTTTAATACAGTCTAAATTGCATCACAATCAGACAGAGTGGTCCGGTAACTCCTATTTGAAATGATTCTTTGTAACACACTGGCACTGCAAGTGAATGGTCATACCTTTTTGTTGATCATATTATGGTTGGCTGCCATAATACTGGTAGCAGCAAGACACATGAATATTTTATACTGATATTTACATTTGTAATTACCTAACAAACAGAAAACTCAAAATGTTACTCCCCATCTCATCTGTCACTTCACTTGTGTGATTGTTTACAAATATCAATAATTAAGTCATGAACTGCCAGTCTGAACTTCATCTTCAGTTATTAGTTAATTATGTATGTATTTTCTATAGAGGGAGAGAAGCAGCAATGTTTCCATCTCCTAAACACAGATAGCTTTTTGAAATATAACACTTTTTAACTCTCACTGATCATTAATACTGTTTTGGAGCATACAAAGAGTGAATGAAGTGTGTCTCTCAGGAGTAACACAAATCCCAGTTAAAGAAGCCTGGTGAGAGTAAGTGAATTACATTCAAGCATGGCTCCCTTCCAGCTTTTCTGCAAAGTGAATTAAAGCCATACGCCTCGCTTACATTAGCCGCTTAGAGAAACACTTAATTCAACTGTGTCAGACCACTGTGCTCAGTCTGGTCCACATCAAAGTCTTGGTGCCATTATCTATGTCTATTGATCCCAAAATCCAAGAATAAAAGTACACCTCAAGTGATTTTTTTGTAGTTTTCAATTTGCTTGATTTTCTTTCTGCTAGAAGCTCTCAACAGGTAAAGTTATCCCAGTTCAAATGTTTATAAGTAGCTGTGTGACCTTAAAAGACCAGTTTACAGACTCTGAATATGAATATTAGATTACAGTTGGTCTAATATTTTATGACTGAAAATCCATACAGAATGAAGAGATATCAAACCAGTGGGCTGTATGGCTAGTATTGGGGAAAAAAGACTTTGTAAAATGTGAAAGGCGAACATTCGGTTTTCACACCAGCTTTCCGCTTCCAGTGTTCATTTTAAGGTGGGAGGAGTGGCTGAGATAATGTTACTTGAGTCATTTTTCAACTTTTGTGAAGTTTCCTCTGTCTTTAGTTTCAGTCTACATCTCTGGTGCAGTTGGTCCATTTGTAAGCCTGCTGCTGTCCGCTCTGGCAGATAGATTATTGTAAACCACTAAATCTAAGTCAGGCAGACCAGTGGTGTCAGATGAGCTTGGTGCAGACTCGATGCTAAGTGCCTAAGAGTCCAGTGAAGTTCAGTAAAAGTGACAGCATATGGAACAATGGTGACACACTTCTGATTCAAGCTTGGGCCATGCTCCTGGCCTCATGTACAACACATGTAGAGCGCATGAGCTCAGTGGGGGGCGTGAACAGTCTGTGTACAAAAGCTATAGCAACATACTGACATCATGCAGACTTCAGTGAGCAATCAAACTAATACTGTTCCAGAATTGATTGTGCCTGTGAAAGCTACACAGCTCTTTTTCGGATTAAAGATAGTCTCCGTGAATTTGAAAGTTTTCAGTTTGCATTAAAGGAAATAAAACAGTCACACAATGGCATATATTTATGTGGTGGTTATTTGACACAATTGTTATTTTTTGCTATTTATTAATAAGAACTACTCTTACTGTGTAATTTGTGAAATAGGATATTAGTAGTAATGTTGAAGTTTGTCTAAATTTAGGAAAGGCTAATATCATGATCTTGTTTCCAGTGCGCTAAATCTAATAAAAGAAAACAAATAACATAGGCTGTAATGTGTACTACCACTCAGACACTGCCTGACTCCAAATAAGTAAAGATCAGAAACAAAAGACTTGAACGCAACAGGATAGCCCTCAAGACGCAAGAATTCTTGAGTCTTTTCGTTGTTAAAGAAAGTAAAATGATTTGTGAAGTGCCTTACTTTCAGTGCGCACTTCTGTCCTGTTTTCTTGTTGTAACACTCCAGGACCTTCCCGTTGATGCCCAGGCCCAGGACATGAGTGGACAAAGTGTAATCGTCCGTGACCGCGTTGCGCTTTATTTCCACTTTGGGATGAGCGGGCATCGGGAAGTGCGCGCCCTCCGCGTTCGCCGCGTCTCTTCTGTTCTGTTCTGCTGGCTGCTCTTTAGAGCTGTCTTCTTTACAGTCCGCTTGAGTCTCGGCTTTTGCTTCTTGTGAAGGCTTCTGTTTTTCATTTCCATTCTGCAACATATTTCCACCGGTTCTGACGAAACCAGCCGTAAGATACTCGCGGGAAGAAAGTGCTAATAAATTCAACAGCAGCGATGGCTCCGTTGGCACAGATAAAAATACTGACGGGAATCAGCTGTCCCGGCTCCGCAGTTCAGGACCAAGCGTTCAAATAACCAGTGACTACTTCATTACCTGTTTTTGTCTGTTCCTTAACTCTTTACACAGTGAAAGACAGCCACATCCCTCACAAATATGTCTAAACCCATTTAAACTCTGAAAGACTTTGGTGTTTCTAAGTTAGTTCCGCTGTTTGATAGACCTGTCTCTGCTTCACATGGCCAAAGTCTGCCTCTGCTGAAGCGCCACCCTCTGAAACTTCTTAACTGGACATAGGTGACCGCCTTAAAGGAGCCGAGCGATTTCTGTGAAATACATCTAAATCCTTGGTAATGTTAGGCTAATTAAACTACATAATGTGAATATATGAACCAATATGCTTTTTTGCTAAATACTTTTGATTTAATCTTTACCATGATATTCTGGTTGTTTCGATCATAGTCTAATTTTTTTATGTTGGGATATAATGTGCTTTTTTATTTAGCAAATGTGTAGGGCACGTTTTTATTTGTTTTGTGACTTTTGTGTGTAGAAGGGTTATGATAAACCCAACCAGTTTCTATAATGTTGTAATATCCACAACTTGGCTACCTGTACCCAAGCGTCAACTTATATCATCCTACTTATATCCAATGGATAACACTTTACTGAATATTTTCAATGTAACTTTCATTTTAATAATCTAAAGCACAGATGAGGGCCACTCCTTGTTTGATCCAGTGCCCCTGAGTCTGGTCAGTAGGCAGTTCCACAGCCATCACATAGTTAGTAGAATGTCCTGTTGTAGACAGAGTTCCTAAGGCAAATACAGAAGAACAGTTAAGAACAAAAGTGATAATATTTTTAAACACAATTTCATTCACTGAATCACTTTAACCTTCATGAGGTGTTGGTGTTGAGGGTGGAAAATACATAGCTGCACTTTGAGCTTAGTGAAATTGGACACTGACTGAAGTCTATTTTGAGTGAGTTATAAAACCAGCAAAGAAGATATGCACAAACACATAACGTGAGCACAGCCAGCTCTTTAAACACAGTGAAAAACAATAAGGGTAATGTATGCATTTTGTAATTTCCATCTTACATTCTTTTGTTGCATAACTAAAGGTTTAACTCTCATTATTGCGATTTGTTTGTACACACCAGCACGTGTGAGGGTCTTGTAGATGGGGCACACATAGATGCCTGATATTGGTGGGTTCCGATTAGGCGTAGGAATGAGCCAGATGACGGCCATTTCAGTGTAGAGCTCTTTGGGCCTGGACTGTGCGAGCCGACCTTCCCTATTATCCCAGCGAGCTCCCTCCAGGAATAGTCCATGGATATAACAGCCTGTGTCTGGCTTCTCCTTTATCTCTGACACAGATTTAGTTATTACCTATGGGACAAGACATTACAAAAGGGAACAGAAGCTTTCATCAACAGAAAACAAAATGCTATTAAGGTGTGTTGTTAGTACAGTGTTATCTTATATGCATTCATTTAGTTTTCACCTCAAAATCAAATCCAATTATGTCAATAGAGGTGCTCGAACGCCGGGCATAATTCTGGAGGGTTCCAGTGAGAAAGGCCTGGGGGAAGAAGAATCCACTAATCCAGAAGACAGGGGGGATGCCTCTGGAGATCCACCTCTGCAGGAAACTGGTCCTTTGAAGCAGGTCTATCACCCATGAAGCCAAAGGTTTCAGAGATGGGTAGGCCTAAATAGAAAGCTATGCATTACTATAAAGCAAAGCATACAATCACCCAAAAAATATATCGAATAGAGTAGGCTATGCCAAAAAAAAGAAACACAGCCTAAATGTCCACAATTTGTTTGTTTAGCAATCATATTCACATTTATTCACAGTTTTTTTTTTTTTTATCACTTTATTTATTATATTTGACAGGTTTGTAAACATAACAAGAAAATAAAAAAAGAGGAGAAATAATGACAATGGAAGGAAATAAAACAGAAACAGAAGCCTAGGTGACATTGATTATTCTACTTTTGCATATATGATGTCCATTTTTCCCATTTCTTCTTCATTTGTGCCTCTTGCAACCTCAGTCTATAAGTTATCTTTTCCATTAGATATATGTCCTTTATTGTAGATGTCCACTGATCCTTTGAAGGCACAGACGTTGTGCCCCAGTTCCTGGTTATTGATTTTTTGGCCGCTAATGACATGACTTTGAAAAGATATATATCGCCTTGGTGAATAATGTTTTCTGAGAAGTTGCATAGATAGACCAGTTCAGGCGACAAAGGGACAGGATATCCCAGCACCTGCCCCAGTACATCACAAACCATCTCCCAAAATACAGTAATATTTGCACAATTCCAAAATATATGAGAATGGTCTACATTAATCTCTCCACATTTCCGCCAACACATTTGATGTATCCTTAACTGCTTACTCTTTAATTTAGGTGTAATAATGAATCGAATCAGGTTCTTCCAGGCAAACTCCCTCCATGTTCGAGAGCAGGTGGTGGTGTGGTGATGCCGCCACATGTTTAACCAATCTTTATCTCCAATTTTTATGTTCAATTCTTTTTCCCAATTCCCCTTCACTATTAGAGTTGTGTTCTTATTGTTTTTAGTTAGGGCTTTATATAATGCTGAAATTATTCTAAGATTACCATCTTTATAGGCTTTAGTTATTGTTTGAATGACATCACTCTCTTCCATGGAGGGGTTCCCCTGTATTTCCCTTCTATGATAGTCTCTCATTTGAAGGTACCTGAAGAAATCATGTTTTCCAAGTTGATATTGCTTTGTGAAGTTCTGAAAGCTCTCCAGCTGCCCATTTTTCTCCAATACACACCAGGCAGTCATCCCTTTTGTTGTCCAGTATTTATAATTTTTGTCATATTTGGCTGGCATGAACTGACTATCATATGCCATCCATTTTAATTTTTTTGCATGGTTTTGAATCTTGTGCTTTCTAAGTATTTTGAACCATATAGTTAATGTATGATTTGTTATGGGATCTAGGTATAATTCATATTCTTCATATAACTCTTTATCTCCAATCATATTCTGAATTGGACCCTCCAGACTACTATTTTCAATATCCTTCCATTTTCCACTGTAATATGGATTACACCAGCAGTGCAGGTATCTTAATTGTGAGGCATAATAATATTCTTCCAACTTGGGTAAGCCCATCCCACCCTTTTCTTTGGGCAGCTGGAGAGTCTCATATCGCACTCTGGGTCTCTTGTTGTCCCAAATGAACCTAGAAACAATCTTATTCCAAATTGTGAATTGTGTATTAGTGACCCGTACTGGTAGAGCTTGGAATAAAAATAAAAACCTGGGCAAGATGTTCATTTTTACAATATCAATTCTAGAGCTAAAGTCTAAAGGAAGGGTAGACCATCTTTCAATATCTTTCTGTATTCTTTCCTGTACTTGTGAATAATTCTTAGAATTTACTTCTAGAAAATCTGTTGTTATTTCAACCCCTAAATATTTAATGGATTGCATTTTCCAGTTAAATTTCAAGTTTTTTTTTATATTCTGGGAGGGAACATAATTGAATTTTAAAATTTGATTTTGAAAATTTGAGTTTTTATATTTATTTTATAGCCAGACAAATATTCAAATGTGTCTAATAGGGTCATCAGTTCTGGGAGAGATTGATCCGGTTGTTCGAGGTAAGCAATGACATCGTCAGCAAAAAGTCCAATTTTATGTTCAACTCCATTTATTGTGACTCCTTTAATTTCAGGGTTTTGCCTTACCGCCTGTGCCAGGGGTTCGATAACGATAGCAAACAGGGATGGAGAGAGCCCACATCCCTGTCTTGTTGACCTTTCCAACTGGATTTTTCCTGTCATATTTCCATTTATTTTAATTCTTGCTGTAGGTTGAGAATATAATGTTTTTATAATGTCTACAGATTTGGTATTGAAGCCCATTCTTTCCAGAGTCAAGTACAGAAAATTCCAATTGAGTCAAAGGCCTTCTCCGCGTCTATGCTCAATAGGAGAAATTAGAGCTAAATTTCTTTAGAATTGGAAAACACATTGAAACATGCTTTTCTTCATAAAGAAATGTTTTCTGGCTTGAGTGCTAAGGAGCAGCAAAACTCTCCGCGTCATGATAATGCACTGGGTCAGCAGTATTGTTCATTTTCTTTCTGTATATGCTAACTCAACAAGTTAATGTTTTGTCAAGATGTAGTATGCTCTGATTTTGAGTTTAGAGGGTCCTTCTGACAGTTGTCTCAACTTGAATCCTCTCAATATGACGAAATAGTGGCTTGTTCTCTCGGATCTCTCGTGCTTCTTTTAAGGACACGCATGGAACCTTCAGAAAAAACCCACTGACTTTGCTCTCTCCGTTATATGTTCTCCTTGTCATGTGTCTGCCGTCTCTGTATGAACCCTGTCTGGTCTTCATCAATTAGATCAGACAGAAATGTGTTTAATCTTTTGGATATTATAGATGTATATATTTTATAGTCTATGTTTAACACTGAAATAGGTCTATAATTAGCACAGGTTTGTTTGTTTTTGCCTGGTTTTAAAATAACTGATATTATTGCTTCTGACCATGAAGCTGGTAATTTATTTTCTTTTAGTGTCCAATTTAATGAATTATGTAAGATCGGTATCAGTTCATTTTTAAATACTTTGTACCATTCAGCTGGGAAACCGTCACTACCAGGTGATTTACTCTTCTTTAGGGAGCCTATGGCGCCAAGTATTTCTTCTCTTGTGATCTCTGCTGTTAACGTGTTATTTTGACTTAAACCAATTGATGGGAGATCCATTTGTTGAAGAAAATTTCTCTTACTTTCTCTTGTTTGTTTTCTTGAAACTTTCGTTCCATGTCTTGTCTAAGAGATGATATTTCCTGTTTCAGTTCATCTTTAGCCGCAGTTAGTTCTGCTCGAAGCTTTGTGTCAAGATTTTGGATTTGATTGCTGATCCTTGCTAGCCCGTCTAACATTAGCGTTGACTGGCTTTGCTCCGCTACGTTAGCGTTGCTAGCCACCACCTCGTTAGCTTCGCTAGCTCCAACTTCGCTAGCCTCCTGGTCACTCTCATCTTGTTCGGCCACTTCCGACATGTCTCTCTTTGTTCTTCGGCCTCTACGTGTGTTACCTCCTCTCATCTCGAAATTATCATCGGATTTTTATTTCGAGTTAAGATTTTGTGGAGTTCTAGTTCACCGATGTGCAGAGCTCAAATTATCCGTCTGTCTCTTCCGCCATCTTCCGGACTCGAGTCCGAGCACATATGTGATTGACTTCCACATTTGTTTATTAAGTATATAATAACCCCATCTCTTTTTCGGGGGGGCCACAAATACATCATCAAACTAGATTTCACATTCTGAAATTCTATTAATTCCAGCTTTCCATTGATAGTACATGAGTATGCACTTGTTTTTACATTTTCTTTCATTTATGACTCCTACCTTGGCCTTCCACATTTCAGGCACTGCATTGTTGAAGAGGCTGTTGGCCATAAGCTCCAGTTCTGATGACATCACCACTAAACCCTTTAGGGCCTTCACTATATCTCTGAGGCTCCTCGAGATGACGTCCAGCAGCTTGTTATATCTGACAGAGCAAAGTTTTAATGACAATGTGATATATATGACTACAGACCTTTGCTATTCAACAGCCAAGATGTATAAGATGGGATTTGTAAAAATGTACTAGGTGTGTTTGTGCAATGACTCCAGGAAGAGTAACGGCTAATGGAGTTTAAATAAATTAAAAAACTTTTTTATTTGTACATAGTTTACCTAATGACTTCCTGGATGAGCACTGTGTTCATGGACTCTTCATACAGAACAGGGTACTTGGCCATGACCTCTTTCACATTGAAGGCTGGAGGAATCTTTTCCATAATACCAGTCGCAATGTCCTCTACAATCTGAGTAACACAGAATATAACATACTCAGAGCTGACTCACAATAACAGCATACACCTTTGTCAGTGTTCTTCCATCTTGTTATGTAATAGTTTCTTTATACCTCTTCAAGGCTTTTGCCACCAGCAGAAGAAGCTCGAGGCTCGAGCTGAACAACTGTCCCCAAGAGGGTAAAGGTTTCATTTTGGGCGAAGCTGATGTTGGCATTGTCATGAAGACCAAATATTTCAGGAGTGTCATTGATTGGTAGCCCACTGATGTATGCTAAGTAGCCCTGTGATTAGAAAGCATGGACAATGTAGCATATATCACATGGCTGCACTTACAAAATAGTTAGTTTTAGTTTTTACACTTGTACATTATGCTGACACTAAGAATAAACTTACAGAATCAGTTCCTTTTTTGAATCACAAAAAGGAAACTGACACATTTAATATCCTGAGCCTACCTTAACGTCCAGACTTGTGTCAATCTGTCGATACACTCCAGAAGGAGAGTAGCTATGATTGACCTCAAGCACAGCCGGGCAATAGAAATCCTCCAGAATACTGAGCAGACAGCGCCGGTCCCAGTCATCTGTCACCCTGCCCCCATAATTGATCTCCCCAGCAGTGTACTTCAACACCTGGAGAGGTCAGACCAAAACAGGACAAGATAAATACAAGAGAGTTACTTTGCAGACACTGTTGAAATATTTTTGCCTGAATAAAAACAATAACTTAAAAATACCAACAGCATTTGTTTCTTACCTTGTAAGGAATGTTACGATACTCATCCAGAAACATCTTTAGCTGGCTGATGCAAATATTCAAGTCTCCATCTGTGAACTCATAGGGAATATTGAATCCAAGTGCACCAAACCTTCTTCTCCAATGCAATCCCATGAAACAAAGACAGAGAGAGAAGCAACGGCTTGAAGACATTAATCTGTAAGGAACAAGGAAGAGAAACTTCTATTTGGTCCTGTAACAATTAAAACAGAATAAAATTTCAGTTGAACCTTGGTAGAGGAGTTGATAAAGTCATTTGTGAGCTTTAGATAAGTTCTCTGAAGGTTAGCTTTGATTCCCCTCGGGGGCTCAATGGTCATCTTGGACCCATTTTGGAGAATAGAGACAGGAAACTTGTTGCTTGGAAGACTTGTAAGCCACAAACGGAAGTCCTTGTGTACCTATTTAAAATTAGACATTGGGAAGACTGGTGATTTCTGTGTAAAGTATGTCTGAAACAAAGCTTTGTCCTTTCAATGAGCCTGTCTAGTAGATGTGAGGGTTACTGTTGTTTAAAGCCTGACCTTTCCAGGGTCGATATGTTCAATCAGTCTCTCTAGTGCAGGCATCCAGCTGGGAGCCAAGTGACAGTTCTGGAAGAAGACCCAATGTCCTTTCATCATGGCAGCGTGCATCATGATCTCAGCCCGGGGGCCCTGGAAACAGCACCACAGCCCACATAAGCACCATATGCATACACCAGAAAACAAATGAGCTACATTATAGTCTGAAGTGTTAGAAGAAACAGTTCACATTACATAAACGAACATAACACACCGCTGATGAGAAAGAGTCTGTGAACGCCATCGGTCAATTGTTCACAGGATGATAAATAATAATATTGTAATGCCTCATGTGTGACCATGTAAAAGTAATGTAATATGCCTTAAAAGTAGTATGCTGGTAGTGAAATACCTATAAGGTGCCTTAGTCTTGTAAAAATGAGCACAGCATAAATCAAAAATGTGCAAGTTATGATTTTTTTAGCACATAAGAAGAGTTAAAATGAACCTATTAAAGATAAAGGGTAAATCATGAGACCTGGCCTTGGCCTAGAGAGATAGCGCTCATCTTCTTGGAGAACTGCATGACATCAGCAAACTTGTACAGGTCTGCTGCAGGGTCAGTACCAGGTGACAGGACAAAGATGAGAGGAGTCGTGTGGGAAGAATCTTTGAAGACCTCAGATAAATCAGATGTCTAAAGAACAAAACATATTTTAGAACCAGAGATGTTTTATCATTTATACTATAATTATAACTTTTAGTTAGTTTTGGTACCTGAGGTTCTATGAATTGCTGACCCAGTTTAGCTGCCACAAAGTCTTGAAAACCCTGAATAAGACAATCGGCCCTCAAACAGCGCAACACTAAAAGCTTCTGAAATGAGTCCAAATTTGTGTCCCAATCGCCAGGTAATGGCTCCCTGATGGTATAAAAAAAATATTAATCAAGTAATTAAATTTCATACACATGCTTTGTATAACATTATGAAGTTAGTAACCTGTGTGGTTGGTTGCTGTCAAAAATCATCTTGAATCCTTGTAGGTGTTGTGAGAAACTCTCTGCCAGATTTATGAAGTTCGGTAGAGTACTGAGGCCCAGGATGTCCTGCCAGGTCCGCTCTGATAACCAGCTCACTGCAGGATTTTGAAGCTCTTTTGTTGGCATTGCTCCAGATAACAGAAGCCGCCATTCAATCTGCCATATTAGCACCATAAAAGAGTAAAAAAAAAGTTCTGAAAATATAGTTTATATGACTATATAGGTAGAAGAGGCACTTGCCATATTAATTTTTTTCCTATTCATCAGTATGCGTGCACACAGAAGGAAGGCAAACATAAGTTTGTGCTTCTCAAACAAGCTGCGACACACATTGGTGTACAGGCTGAATGTGAAATATTCATTTATGTTGGCAATTCTTTGCTCTAAAATATCTGAAGAAAAAATAAAACAAGTCATGGAAACACATTTTTCTTGTTAATTTGTGCAAAGCAGATTTAAGTATAATTTCTACCTGCTTTCTTAGAGTTTGCAATGGCTGACACAAAGATGCCAAGGAACCACTCCAAAGAATACTGATACATTGGATCCACGCTGGAGAGGTCAGAAACACAGAAGAAGAGAAGCTGGGTCCGTACTGCCACAGGAACATACTCCAGACGTGTTGCATCAATTTCACGTTCAGTTTTTTCAGCAGATGTCACTTTGTCCTTTCATGAACAAAAAAAATGATTAGAACAATTTATGTGTCTATTATGTATTAATAGATATTTAGTTATTTTATCTGACCTTAATTTCCCCCGCTTTGACTTTGGAAGCTGCTAAAACTTGAATTAGTTCCTCATTGTCCACAGGGTTTCCTTCTGTAGAACTGAGTCGCAGAAGAATCTCATCCTCAATCTCTTTTAGTTCCTGTTTCATTTGGGCATTACTAATAATGAGCTGATTTTTTGTTTCTTCTAAGTCTGCACACTCTTTAGCCACAACTTGAGCAAGCAGCTGGTCCTGAAGTCCACTGGTTGGAGCATAAAATGCATATAGTACTTTAAATATATGGTAAGTGTTTTCTTAATCTTAGAGAGATCAGTAAAATGTAAAGATACCTTGGAGATAAGGTGAAATTTATCAGTGTAACTTTGGTGGAGACTTCTGGTGAGTAGTGTGGATTTGGGAGCTTGGTGGTAATATACATTCTGAAGTTTTCATGATATGGGATTACTGAATCACCAATCTTGAGCATTGTGCTGCCTGACTGCTTAAAGGTCTGCAGAAAAATACAGAAGGTCAAGGCAAAACTTAAGCATATTAATATCACAGCAGGATACAAAAACTCATAAACAGTACTATATGGACAATTTTCTTGTTAGTAAATGGTGATTGTGGTTCTATACCTGCTTTAACAAAACAGGTTCCAATGCAGGATCAAGTTCCTCCCCCACGTTCTCCAAGAGGGCAGGTTTGCCGAAACGTATGGCATTCTCTAGGCTGCGCAGAAAGTCTTGGTCAGTAAGCTTCACAACCTCAAGTCCATTTTCTTGCTCCTGTATGACAAAGAAAACAGGGCATGCAAAGGATCAAATATACACAAACTGTAATATAGTCAGAAGCAATGTAATGCAAGTCCCCACTCTGTAACAACTGGCATATTTATTAAATAATCTGTTATTGTACATTTTACATGCACACTCACCATGTTTTTAATCCATTTATTGGCTTGTCCTTGAGGATCAATGAAAAGAGCCCAGCGCAAAGAATACTGGGAAATCACACCATTCTCTGCTGAAAGGTTATCCTTTGGCAATCCTGCAATCTGAATTTAGCATAAAAAATAATATGGGAAATTATTGCTGATTTAAATAATGTTAACTAAGACAGAGCCACCACTCTAAGTTTCAATCAACCCAGCTGTCGTCCGCCTTAATTTTAATTCATACAATAGTCATTGCATTTTATTGTTGTGGCACTGTCTTTGTTAGTGAAATCTATCTTATGCTTGTACTGACCTGCCATGAGCGAATATTCACTGGATCTCCAAGTGTGTTGATCAAGTTGGGTTCTCTAGTGTGGGGAACATTTAACTCCTTGAAACAATGAAGCCACTCCTCAGCCATAGCAGCCCTATACTCCCCCTACTCAACATCACCACATTTTTTGTTATAAGAATGATGACAATGCCAAATGCAAACGCAAATCAGCACTTACAGTAAATGGTCCCAAGTATGCTACATAACCAGCAGACAGAAGAACATCTCCTGTCACATTATTGATCATGTCATCCAAATTTTGTACAGTTTCCTTCCAGCGTACCTTCTCATCAGCAAGTCCTCCTGTGAGCTAAAAACAAACAAAAAATACATTCATAAAGACATCTAAGACATGTAATCACTGTCCCATATTTTATTATTGGTATTGCTAAACAAGCCAATAAAATGGAAAATAGCATACACATACAGCTGGCACATACCATGGTACAGAGTCTGTATAGACAGCACTAAGATCTAAATGTTGAATGAACTTATTAATATTTCTAAAAATGTACTAACACCTAACACTTGTTTGTTTTAGTTTATTTATTGGGACATGGATAGTGCACAATATATATTAACCTTAACAGGAGAGATTGTACCATTGTACCAGGTTGTAGCATCAGTGCTAATTTCCACCTGTAGTCCCTGGGTAGGTTAATTGCTATCAGCTATCGACTATTCTTCTTGGAGACCTATGTTTAATGTTTAATGACTTTTGTAGCATGTTTAATGATAAAATGTTTACTACTTTTAATTACCTTATCTGCACGAACTCTCCGTTTTTCACATAGGTCATACTGATTCTCCAGTTCATTTTTCCTTGCTATATACAGGCCTCATACTTTGCCTGTAAAGCGGCAATTCCACCCTCAACGGCTGCCAGCTTTGCTTTGGAATCATCTAGCATTTGTTGGGTCATAGCTAAGTCTTCCCTGGCCTCCTGAAGCGCTTGCTATATAAAATAACACAGAATGGCCAAATCACATTATTTCAGAAGACAGACAATTGTATTTCAGAAAAAATCTGATCTTAAACACTGTTGTTTTTACCCTTTTAGGCTCAACCGCCTTTGCTGCGAAATTATATGTATACATTGCCCTTGTCCACTGGCAAATGGATGTACAGGCTTTGGACACTTTGGCAATAGCAGCTGGTTGAAATTCCTCATTGTCCATGTAGGGCTGGATCAGCTGGATCACAGTATCTGGAATGTTGTCCTGTGAAAAGGCAAAAACATGTACACACAGCCCTGAAGCTACTAGAACAGTGGCATAAAGAATAAATAAACAAATTAATATACGTTTACTTATAATATCATTTCTACCTTATCATAGTTGAACAGGCCCTCCAAAAATTTACCAGGGTCTTTCAGCAGACCCTTTCCTGGTTCCCAGTAGTCATCCACCTTCGTACCTGGCTTCTCTCCAGGTACCTTCTTAGGTTTAATACCCTTCATAATACACACTGCCTCTATGACCAACTTTACACCAGGAGGTGGTCGCTGTAAAGCTCGCACCTATCAAACACAACCACAAGTATTAAAAGATAATGACACCACAACAAATCTAACACACAAGAAATCTATATAAAGAATCTCACCTCAGTAACATCATTTTTGTTGAGTGACTTTAGGCTTGTGAGTGCATCCTCCAGTGCAGGTAAAGCCTCATCCAAGTCTCTCTGTGCATCAGTTGCAATGGCCTCTGCTATTTGTGCTTTTTTCTTGGCTTTAGATTCATCTTCTTGCACTGATTTACGTGTTTCCTCAGCAATGATTGTATCTTTCTAAAAAGAAAAGGACAAACGTGTTTTTTTTTTTATATATATATATATATATATATATATAAATAACTAAATGTTGCTTTTTATTTTTATTTTTTTCTTACTTTTATTGTCTCCATAGTGACCTCAGTATCCTGAGCAGCCTCCTCCAAACTTGGCCTCATTTTTACCAACTCTTCCTGCATCTTTTTCACATCGTCTGCAGTGCTGAGAAGCTATAATGGAGATTTTGAGTTAACATAAATACCACATAATCAAATAGTAAAAGGATTATAATTAAGGTGCTAACAGCTTACTTTGTCCAGACCAGTTTTCATGCGCAGTCGTGCACTACTTAATTGATTTTTTTTATGTGAAGTGAGGTTTGAGAAAATATTGAGCAATTCCAAATAGCTTTTTGGTGTTACATAATTGTATCGTGAAAGCTCAGCCTTGAATTGTTCACACTTCTTGGCTACCATTTGGTGGATCTTCACACACATAAGAGTCTATATATAAAGGTACAGGAGAAGTCAATACAAGCTTCTTTGTATATGATACTATGATGTAAATTGTAACTTCAAGCCATTTTACCAATTCCTCTAAGAGCTTCATCACTGGCTTCAAGGTCGGACATCTCATTCAGAAAAGTAGAAGCCACAGCTTGAAGAGCATCCTCCGGCCAGGCACTGAACCAATCAATAGTGCAGCAGGTAACCAGTGAAGGGAACTGCCTCAGACGTGCACGAAATACCTCCCCTATAGGACTATAAAAGTACGAAAAATACACTAGATGACATACATAGTGTTGAAACTAAGATGGAATCAAAAGACACTGAGGCAGTGTGCACATAACTAAAAATAATAGTTATTGCTTACCTCATGCACAGAACTGTATGAATATTGCTCCGGACCTTCTTGAGGTATGCAGCCATAAGATTAGCCTTAGTTGGCTGCTGACCCAGCTCTAAAACTGCTGGCTTCATTGTAGTAAGTATCAGTTCCTCCTCATCATTAGCATACAGATTGGGAACATCCCCAGAGTTTAAGATGTTATTGATATCTTCCAGGAAAGACTCACTTTTTATCTGAATAGTTAAAAAAGGTTTTCAGTATTTTAAGTTTTTTTTTATTATTATTAAAAATGATTATGACACTTACCTGTGTATCTACAAAGAGGAAAGTGATTGACTGGTTTTGAAGGCCAGCCTTCAGCATAATACCTTTCAGGTCTTCTCTCCATTCTGATAGACCATAGTTTTTGGACAGTTCAATCTGAAAACACTCATAGTTAGACCTGATAATGAAGAAAACAACATCAGTCAAATAGGGATACATAGTGTAAAGCTTTAACAACTTAGGTTATACAAAATGAGGCAATGATTTACATATAGGAGGCCAGTTTGGTCAAAGACTGGCGGCCGCTGCCACCTACACCCAGCAAAAGAGCATTGCCTAAAGGCTGGCGCAGGATACGGCTGATACGACACACATGTTCTATAGCATCCATGAAAAGCACTAGTTTCATTTTTGTTTTGCTGCTTTGATTATAGTCTTCCATGTACTCTACGATGACCTCTACTAACTGAAAAATATATTTTAAAAAAACAGAAGACATTTTTTTATGAATAATATGTTAATAAATGCTAATATTTGTATAAACTGGTCTTCCTCTCTTCTAAAATACCAACCTCATCCTTGTTGTCAATTAAGGCATACATTTTATTGTCAGGTCCAGAACCCATGAAGTCTCCAAATAAAACTGGCTGACATGTTAAAACTTCTTCTTCAACCTTGCACCCAAATTCTTGGATACAGTCTTTCAGGAGTGCGTTAAACCATTCTCTGTCCTCAACACAGACAAGGCGGTCCTGAAAAACCCGACAGCTTTCATGGTACCACAACTGGAGCAACTGTGATTTCTCCTACAATTAAAAAAACAAAAATTACAAAATAAACAGTTATTGCATATTACACATGCATATTTTTGTCACTACCTCAATTGTATCAGCATTAGCCATGAGCATGCCCTGGAAAACCTTGGACAGGTCTCTGAGGTTGAAAGTATAATGAGATTTGGCTGGAGTTGGAAGAAGCTGAGAAGTTATCGTAGAGTAGACTCGAATAGTGGCATCAACAAGAGTCTCATTCAGTGACTGGATAGCTGGCACTGAGGAAAAGAGGTGGCAAACATTTATACCCCACACTTGCAATATGGTGACCTAATCCCACAAACTCACAATATATAAACTTGAATTTCCCCTGGCATCAATAAAATATCTCTCTCTATATATATGTTTTTTTATATCGAACAATCTCAGTTTTCACATGTGTCATTAAGGAGAAATAAAATGGATTAACATAAATTATATAGATTTTTAATCACTGCCATTTACATTTCACATTTTACACATTTCTTCCTACACAGTCTGAACCCTGCTCCAAACTGCATGATTTGAGTGGTGGCAATGCCACTGAATTTATTTGCATGGAATACAAAGAGTTGATCAGGCAAGCCAGTCTTATATAATTTCTGTTATATGGTTAATATTTGTAAAAGATTCAAATATTAATTTTGTTAAAGTGTAAAAGGTCTTACCCATCCAGGTGCCTAGAATGGAGGTAAAAATGTGCTTCTTGCTGGTATCATCCATTTCAGTAAAAGACAAGAAGTTGAAGTGCCGAGAGAATCGTGGTGTGATGGGATTTCGTCCTCCACCAGGAGGCCCCATGGCACAGGCAAAATTTATATCTACCAAGTGTCTAAAGGTGCCTGTAAATGGATACAGTGTTCCAGTTTAAATGCTGCAGAAAGTGAATCAGTCATTTGGTAATATCACAGAGTGTAAAACATGTGCAGGGTACCTATCTGCTTCCTGTCATACCAGCCCCCATGATCCATCCACTGTCGCAGAAGCTCAATAGGTGGTTGAGCACCATATGTTTCTAACATTGGCATGTTAAGGTCATCAATGAAGAATATGAAATACTTTCCCTTTGGAGGCCCAAACACATTTTTCCGCCTGACAGACAACACATGTGAAGTTCACATTCAATATAAGGCCCAGAGTGGACTAAAATATACAAATACAAACCTTTTAACTAGTTTATTGTCTATGTAATCTTGAGTCTGGTTCGCTGAAGTGCGAGCAGAGAACATGAGAAAGTGGGAAATGTAGTCTGATGACATGTTTTTGAGTAGTTTATCTGACAGAGTGAGGGTCTTCCCAGTTCCAGTTGGACCAAAACACAGAACCTAGTAGACACAAATCAAATATCAATCCCTTATAAATCATTAAACAAAACAGTTTTAATTTAAAAAAAATAACACCTACCGGTTTCTTATTATTCAATAGCATGTCAAGCAGGAAAGTCATTCTCATTGTATCAGGGGTGGGCACAACAATGTCGGCATACTTGGTTTCTGCTGTAATGACAAAATTTGGTGAATCTTTCATCCAGCTGATCCACTGTACCTAGACAAAATGAAAAGATGAAGTTGTAACGTTGTATCCACAAATGCAACATTTTAAGAAACAACTTTACTTTGCTTTTTTTTGGATCATCATCATCATCCTCAAAGTTACTTATTCCACCATCGTTGAGTTTGTAGTCGTAAACCAAACCGCCAGCTGGAAAACATAACTCAATCTGGAAGTGGAATATTAACATAATGAGCATATTATTTGTTTATTACATATCATATTTTTCAATAATGTCATACATTCTCTTCTGCCATTTTCTCTCTTAGCCAGTTACTGAAGTGCTGACAGCTTGTTGCATCTCCTGTGGCTCCAACACTTCACACCAGAGAGAAGAAAAACCAGGGCTCAATCACTTCTTTTAGGCGCTTCACTTTATGCTGAGGTAGTGGTCGTTCATTCTTTTGTAATAACACATTAAAACATTAGTAGTTTGTAGACACATCAATGATAACAATGACAAATAATGCAAAGGTAACTAGTTAACTGTAAATCATCTTACCTCTTTATGATTAAAAGGGTCAAAAAAGCAATCCATAAGTTTAAGAAGACTGCATGTCAGATTGCTGTCAAGAGATGTGATAACCTCTTTAACATGTCCACGAACGAACCTTAATGAGTCCTGGAAGAAACATACAGTTAACTTTACAAATTAGGAGAATTGCACAAAAAGCTAATTTAGCATGCTGGACAAATGATCAGAATATAAAAAATATTTGCTAAATGTAACCTTGAGGAATCTGGAGAAGAGGGAATTAAGCTGGTCTGAGTGAGGTTTTAAAGCATCAGGGATCTGCTTCAGCCAGCATTCTGTAAAAGGAGTTAGGCCCAGAATACTAGGTTCCAGGTAGACCATTCCACAGCGGGACACTGTAGCTGGGGAAGCCACAGCCAAGTCCTGCACCTCAAACATCATGGTCATCACCTGTAGAAAAGTTAGAGAGTCATTTCAAAATTCTTCTGCACAAGACAGAATATTGAAACCTGCATTTGTCCTTACATCTGTGATCTTGATAATCTCCCCTGAGCTTAGGCACAGTTTTTTGTTATCATCCAGTACTGTGTTCATGTTCTCAATCCACACAGCATCCACAGGACCGTCAAACATGTACCACTTCTTCACTTGGTCCATGGATGATGCCCCTTCACGAACAAGAGCTGAAAGGATTCCATCTGTCCTAAAATGTGAGACAAATCAAAATATTTTTTCCCTGAACTTTTATAGGGGTAATTTCCTGTTTTTATTTTACCATTCCTGTGTGAGTAGGTCATATTCTCCATAAAGCTGTCCCATAGTGATAGATTTGGGATTGAGAACATATGCCTGAACAGCTTCGTACTGTCCACCACTCACTGAGGGCTTGCCTTTTAGAGCTGTTATGGCTGCAGCTAGTATCTCATAACACTGACAAAAGAACAAATGACATGTTGTACGCAAAATCTTTACAATTCATTTAAAAATGTGACAACACTTACCCTTGTTTTACCGGATCCAGGAGGTCCCACAAGCATAAGGCCATGTCTCACCACTGTAGTTTCATAAAGCTGAATACATTTATGAATAAACCCTACAAAAAAATCAGTGGTTTATTAACAGTGTTCTGTAAACATCTGAATTATGATTCCCTTTGTTAAAACACAGACCATCAACATCTTTCAAGTTCCTCTCAACACAAACACTGCGCATGGATTGCTCCAGTGTTCCATAACTGATTGGCTCCTGTTTTGTCTTGGGGAACAGATCAGACACAATCCCACTGAACAGTTTCAAGTCATCTTGAAGAAACTTTGGCACATTGACGTCATTAATGGCTCGCAGACAAATTAACTCCTTCAGGAAAAATAAAAATAAAAATACAATGGTGGACTAAGGAATTGAAACAGAAGCCAAATGACCTACTTCATTCATCTCAGGATGTTCTCTCTTGAGGTTTCCAGCTGCCGAAATCACAGATTTTACAGCTCTCATACCGAAGTCATAATGATCCTACAAAGACCCAACACAACGTTATTAAAATTAATATTGCAATAAAAATGATGATTTGATCAATGACTTATCAATAGTATTAAACTGCTAATTAAATAATAAAGTTCATACCTGTGAGCTAAGCTGTTCAGAGGATAGCTTAAAAGTAGATGTTATTTTCTTTGAAAGGATTTTGGCATCACTAAAGCCAAATGAGTATAAAGAAATTTCAGCAATCATAGCATAGTTGGGCACCATCATAGCCACAGGACGAAACAGAGCCTAGGAATATATGGTGTATGTTATAATAACACATATTATACATGTTAGAGTGGTATAAGAAACTCAGTATACTGTACCTTAAGATTGTCAGGCAGTTCTGTGCGGCCAGCATATCCAGGATTCATTGTAATAAACACAGCGCAGGAGGGAACAAGTGTGATTTCAGTCCCCTCAAATTCAAAGCTTTTAACCTGAAATCAGTTATTACTTCATTACCTATATCTATTTATTTAGACATAGCTATTACAAGGCCTATATTGATTAGAAAACAGTCTTACTCTTTGCTGTTGAGCCTTTTGTATAGTGGTAATTTGTTGTGCCACTACAGAAAGCACTTCCACATCTATACGATTAAATTCATCAAAGCATGCCCAAGCGCCAGAGCTACAAGTCAGGAAATAAAAACAATAAACAGTATTAATTTAGCTACTTAAGTGTACTGTGCTTAGTAATATTTTTAGTATTAGGCTGTGTTTAACCTGGCTAGTCCTTTAAAGAATTTCCCCATGGCCTTGAAGTCGAGCTGATCTGAACAGTTGAACACCACAGTCTGGATTGCTAGGGCCTTTCCAAGATCTTTGGTGGTCTCGGTCTTTCCTGTACCAGCTGGGCCCGCAGGAGCCCCTCCAAATTTCAAATGAAGAGCCCCTGTTAGCGTTAGGTAACATCTAGGACAAAATTATAGAACAAAGTAAGGATTTGTTTTGTTGGAAAAAGTGTAAAATCTGACCCTCACCTGTCTGTCAGTGGGGTGATAACCAGCCGACCAGAGTTACCAAGATATTCATATCCATACAAAAACTCTGCATTTACCACACGGACATACAAGTCATCTCTTGCCCAGTAGTATCTATATATAATACAATAGTAAACATGATACAATATACAATAATAATCAATCAATAATAAAACATTTTTTTGTAATTTCTCTTACAACAAATTCAAAGAAATAAAAGCTCTCACAGATTTTCTTTGCCCACCTGAGCTGGCTGATCCATTCAAAGTCATTAATATTTGAAAGCTTTTGCTGGACCAGTTCAGCAGCAACATCTTTTGCATGGACTTCTATGACAATGAGGGCAGACAGAACAGCCCTTTGCATTCTGGACAAATTTCCTCTGACCAGTTTGACTAAGTTACCCAACTATAAAGAGAGACTGTCAATGAAGTAATGAAGTGTCATCAGAATATTGCATATGCTACTATTACACACCTGTGTTTGCAGTTGAGGATAAAGATGATTAGCCAAGTCTCCTTTCTCTATAGCTTCCGATACCTCGGCAGTCCAGAATACTTGGCATCCAGCAATCACCACCTGACCAGGCCATGACAAAACCCACTTCTCCCGAGGTTGCTAAAATTACAAAAAGTGTTTTTATACAAACCATGTCAACAACAGTCGTATTACTTTTCTACAAATAGTGTGACAAACCTCATAGTAGACTTTTAATGATCGGTCAATATTATCTTTTACTGTAGCTTTCATTGACTTCTCTACATTTCTGAGCCAGTCTTCCACATCACCAGTAGGCTGTACAGACTGGAAAAGCTTCACTTCCTCTCCTTCTCCAGAGTACATGTCAGTGATTTGTAAGTCAGGCTGAAATTTTAGCTGGAAAAATACAAAAATTGATGGGATATTTTTCTCAAGCTTTATAGTAAAATTGTTATCAAAAAGTTCAATCATCGAACCCGTGCAATGTTCTCAAAGCATTTGCGTAAATGTGGCTGAACAGCTGTGGGATCTTTGGTCTGGGACAAAATTTCAAGCAACTCATCGTCTGATAGGAAGTAAAACCTGAAAAAAAAATTACTTTAGTAATACATAATAAAATATTATGTGGAACAATTGGGCACACAGTTCACTTTGACACAGTATAAAATAAAGGTTACAAGAAAAAGGCAGATACCTTGGAAAAGAACGTCTCTTTGTCTCCAAGTACTCACTGAGACCTTTCTGTACTTGTTCTAAGAGTGAGTTGGACGTCTTCAGAGTAGACAATAAACGGGCATCTGGACACAACTCAATTATCTACAAAACATACCAGTAATCTGAGTGTACATTGTGTGTATTGTCTAGGAGTCAAAATTGACGCTGTAGTTCATTCTGAATTTGTAAAACAGATATGAGTTATAACCTTGCGATTATTGTTAGCTTTTCTCATCACTGTTGTCCACATTTTTTCCATTTGTTGGTATTGCCCTGCTTCATTGGGCAGTTGTTGGTTAATATCTGGGGAGCTGAAAATGGGCTCAAGGTAAAGCAAAGAACGCTGGCATGTCAGCCATTCCTCTAGCACATCCTACAAAGACCAGAAGAGGGTAGCACCGCACAATTAGAAACAGAGGTGGCAATGCAGTTAGATTTGATGTACAATGTGATCTATAGTTGTACTTGAGTCATTTTCAGTTTACTCTCCCAGTTGGCTATGCGACTTTCAAAGTATTTTTTAAATGGTGAGAGTGACATGCTCTGGGTCATGACAATGTGGTCATCTAGCAATTGGGAAGCTTCCTCTGGACTTTTGAGAATGTAGGTTCCAGTGTTCTTGTATGGCAGCACATCAACGACTAAAGCTGACCATTCAGCTTTCATTTTATTAAGTGCCTAAAAAGAATGAGAGCAAGAATGAATTGTTGTGTTTGAAAAAAGTTATTAAATAACAGTTAGAATGAAATCCTTTAACCCTTCCAGTGTTTTACATAACCGCGCATAACTTTTTATCATAAAAGATAGAGACTTTTGTTTAGTGCTGAGTCAGAGGATGTTCCTCAGGCTCCTCCAGATTCCCCTGTGCCATTCACTTCAGGTGTCTCCCCAGCTTCATCAGTGTCTACAACCCCAACCACCCGTCCAGAACCATCAACACCTTCAACACCTATGATCTCCTCTGAGAGCAGAAGGAGGGGCAGGGATGGAGGGCATGGAAGATCCAGATCTCCACTCCTCAGTACTTCATCTCGATCACTACACTTACTAACCACCACACCAGGAAGACCGCAGCAGGCAAGGATCATATGGGAGGCTGTCATGTGTGCACTGCTGACAAACACGGGGGAAGAGGCAGTGTACTGCATGGAAATGCAAGGCCTGTGATGTGGCACTATGCCTGGTGCCTGATAGGAACTGCTTCCATGATTGGCACTAGGGAAGGACTTGGACGAGTGCACTTTTTTTGGTTTTGAGGGCAAAAATGACATTTTTAGAATACCTACAAACTTGATATTTTGCACTTTTGTAGCTAAGACCCTAAACTAAGTATTTATTATGTCTAAAAAGTTGTTTATACATGTTTGCTGTGTGTTTTGAATAAAGGAGTGTGAATATCATTTTCCTTTTTTTTCCCCTTTGTATTTCTAGTTCTATAGCTTTTATTACAGCCATATGACACAACTACAGCATTCAGATTGTGAAAGAACAGGTTGTACCGAAAAAAGGATGTATAGCACTTCATTAGGGGATAAAAGGGGGAGTGTCAATAGCAAAATTAGGAAAAAAAATCCAGGCGAGGACAAATGTACCAAAAATGCCCTTAGGTCTGGAAGGGTTAAATGTGAGATTATCAAAACAATGTATTACTCATGTTGTTTCTAAAAACTACAGTATGTACCTGTTCAATGGTGTATTCCTTTCCTGCCACCTCAGCCACCTGTGCTATTTCAGCTCCATAGTTTTGCAAACCAAGCTCAAGGCAGCGTGAGAAAGTCAGATTGGCTTGGAATTGCATCTTCATGTGAATATGCTCTGAAAGCATCTCCCAGTGGCGACTTCTCATTCCAGGGTTGTTAAGTCCTTGAATTAGTGGAATGTAAGGCCGGAATTCCTCAATTTTTCTCTGAATAAAAGCTGCCACCATATGACATCCTGTTGCACAGAAGAAAGAAAATTTCATATCTGCTTTCATATTCATTTTGGCATTTCCTTTCACGTTCTTGCCTGGATTATCTTTAAACTGTTTGACACATTTCTGCATGATCTTGTAAGCCTCTGTGACATTGCTCTCAAGCTGTTCAGAGTCAATAGACGACAGTGGGTCATTGAGCCAGCTCTCATGCCAGTGTAACCAGTTGGAGGTGGTTGTCCATAGGTCCTCATAAGGCTGAAATTCCCCAACTAAATTATGCAGACGATCATACTAGAAGACACAAGTGCTTGGTTAAAAGAGAAATATGATGAAAGAAAATAGAAGGGTGAGTTGTAATGTTTTCCTTGACAGGCTGATAAACTTTCTTGCATACATTATTTAACATCTTCTTCCCCAGCAACAACTTAGGTTTTGAAAATGTGTAAATAAATTGTCCTTACATTTGTCAAAGGCAGCTGAAGCAGACGTTCTCTCCTGTTGTAGATTTGGGCCATAGCCTGACAGTCCTCCAGGTCCTTCTTTGTACGTTTCACCTTACTGGCCAACTCATGTGCATGGTTCATGTCTGCAAAACCTGCAAAACCAGCAACCAGCATCTGCATTCACAGAAAATATCAGTTACTGGACTAATGTGTATAGCAGTTTAAGAAGCATAGTTTGGGAGAGTGAAAAAATCTAATAATTCTAAAAAATTATAATTTGTCTTGTCTAACATACTTGTAAAGAGTCAATCTGTTCCTCAAAGTTGTTCTGTTCACTTTGTTGAATTTTGTGGAAACGTTCCTCATCCTCCTTGTGTTTTACAGTTGTTTTTTCTATCTGTCTGAAAATCTTTTGAGGCCATCCAATAGCAGCCCACCTGTATACACATTTAATGGTTTTATTGTTGGGAAAATTATGTTAATTGCAGACCGTGGTTGAAGGGGTAAAAACATTTTTCTCACTTCTTACTGAAATCATCCTTTGGTATAAGGTAAAAGAAATCTTCCAAGACATCATATTCTGCAAGTGTCTTTTTAAGTCGCTCCTGTTTAAAGAGATAACCATTACAGCAAGTTTTTACCTCTAAAACATATGAATGTATATGTTACGCATTTAAGTACTTTATAAACTCTTAGCTGTTCAGGAATTTGCTTCATCCACTCTCTCTTTTCAGATAGTTCCTCAACTGTATTTGGTTTTTCACAAAGTTTTCTGTCTATGATCATGCACTCGTCACAAGCCTAGAAAGAGTGCAATTCAGAATGGACATAGTCTATATATTCATAGTATTTTAGAAATAAAACCCACGTACATCGTCAATCTGCTTACGAAGTCTTTGAGCAAACTGGTCCTGCAATGACTTAGCCAAAGCTTTTCTTTTATTGCACAATGCGAGTCGAACAGTCTCTACCTGGACAGTGAATGGGCCAATGTTGATAAAGAGGGGTAGTGTTTGTTCAAGTCTCTCTTTTTCTTTCAAATGTTGTTCCACTTCTTTTTTCACCACTTGGGATGTCAACTCTGTCTGTGTACTAGATCTGAATTCAAAATATAGACAAAACATTCAACTTTTAGTGGTAAATGTTAATTAACATTACCATACACTTACTTAAGCAGTGTTTCAATGTCTTGGTTATATAGTTCCAAATATTTGACGTATTCGGCTGCATAGGCTCTCAAAGGAATGGCCGCCTGCGAAAGAGCCACTTGTATCTCCCTTCGTTGCTTGATTACTTCAGGTTCCCGCATATTCACAGACTCAAGTAAACTATCTTCCCCAAAGAAGAGATTTTTCATCACCAACTGTCACACAAAAGACAAAAGAAATCAAAACTAGTGAGACTAGTTGGAAACTACACTATATCATGAAATTAAGATACATCCTGGTATGGCTTATTCTCAACTTCATTCATACCCTTTCAACTTGTGGAACATTCTGTGCTGCCACAATGCCTTTATCAAACAGCTTTACAATTGATGAGGGAAAACTCTCAAGAGGAGTGCTATAATGAACTCCAGTCTGGTCCAGAACCAAGTCCAGTAGGAACAAGGTGTGTTTCTTTGATCTAGGGAAGAAATTGAAAACTAAATAATTATAGCATGCACAAATATGTGCACAAAATTCTTAATACAATAAATTCATAATGAACATTGCTGTATGACTACAAATATAGGCATATTGATCATCTGCCTACTTGTAAGGGCTAGTAATGAGGTCTTCTCCCCAGACCAGATCTTCACAACAAGTCAGAGTACTATAACAGGCATCCATAATTTGTTGAGTAAGACTGGCCAAAGAGTTTTGCACAAGATAGCGCAGGGCATCTTGCATTTTGTAGCGCACCACATTCATCAATTTCATCAACTTGGACATCTTATACATTTCCCAAGAGGACTGATTCACATTGTAAGTGCCTTTCCCGATCTCTAATAAGGGAGACCGAATGGCATTGCTCACTGTTGATATCCATGTTTGTCGAAGATAAGAGTTCACCTGTGAATGAAGAAATTATTTGTGATACTTGTCTTGGCATAGTTTCATAACTGTTGCAAAGTACTTTCTTGGTTCTACACCAACTGTACCGATATTGTCATCATACCTGAATGTGCAAATGCGATTGTGAGGTTTCAAAGTCTTTTAGTCGAAGTGATTCCCTCTCGGAAATATTAAACAGCTGCATGTTTGCCACTTTGTCACACTCACACCATATTTTAGATAATAGAAACAGCACCTTTGGTTGTGTGAGTAGGGAGCAGAAGGCAATCTTGGCACATGTTTCCTTATAAGAAAAAAGAGGAGCTGGAAAAATCTCTAAGAAAGTAAAGAAAAAATAATAATTTTATCACATAGTCGGTATAGAATCACAAATATCAAAGAGTGATGATGCACCTTTTTTAGGAACCAGTGGTTGTTCTTTCTTTGGAATAATAATTTGTGAAAACAGCTGCCCTGATTGACTCATTACTACATTGTCAAATATAATTTTGTTCATAGTCCTGCTATAGTCTAGGCATATCTCCTCCTCCAGGTGCTTTACATAGTCATCCAAACTGAACACATTAAATATCCATTACAAAACATATCTCTCATTACAACACTAAAGCACATTCACATATGAATCACATCCAAATTATGTGCTGTGACTTACCGTTTCTGTCTGAGATTAGGAGTTGTGAGAGCTTTTTTTTTGATCCTCTGGAGACAGCTGCTATCAAGCGATGTTCCTTCACAAATGGGCATGCAGTCAACAGATAGATTATAAAGCACAAGCGCTTCTGCGTTGTCCCTTAAATGCAGAGCATTCTTGATGCGCTGCACAAAGATGCGTGGATCCTCTGCTTTGAATAACAGTCGAATTCTAGGTACCCAGTATCTACTTCCTGTAACGTATGGCTTTTCCCCTGTGCAGTCCGTAAACAAGAAAGAGAAACAAAAGAGATCAGAAGAAACAGAACACAGTAAAACATATAAAAACATATAGTACATATATCAAGTCATGAAATGTACCAGTCAGTGGTGTCTTCTTTTGTTGTTCACTAAGGCTAGAATTTCCACTTAATTCTTTTAGATGAACCTTTTCAACAAGGTACAAAGATGTTTCCTTATTGTAGTCAAGAACCCCAACCAAATGCCAGATGTGTTCCTGGGTAAGGGGACCTGAATCTGTAATAAAACAGGTAAGTGTCCTTAAATAACATTTTTAATAAACAGTGGTATAAAAAACATTACATACCAAATGCAATTTTGACTTCAGCTGGCAGGAGGGCTTTGGCTGGAATAGGCTTTCGATCACTTGATCCTTCAGTAATACCCAGAGAAAGCCAGTCTTCTGGGGTCCGACAGTCAAAATCTTCATTGTCAAATATCTAAGAAAAAAGATACAATAGCACCAATACAAATTTTCTCTATTTACTGTATGCTAAATGTTGGAGGTTAAAACTTACCTCCAGTGGAAGATAGGGTGACACACAGGAGTCATTGCTACTGCCCTGATACTTTGGCAAAAGACTGTTAGTGTCGATGCCATTTGCTTCCAGCAGATCTTCAAGGTTTAACTGTGAGTACTCCCTCCTGAGTCTATTAATTAAAATACATAAACCAAGAGAACAACTGTTGTTAAGCCTGTCTTACCTTACCGTGAAAGATGTAGATAGTCATTTTTGTCACAATCACCCACCTCTATTTCATTTTATTAGTATGTCGACATAAACAATTAAAGATAATGGACAATATTTAAAATCACTGAGGTTGGGAGGAATAATGCAATATTAATACTTCATAGCTGATGTCATCAACATTCCCTGGGGGTGTGATGTAAACTGTAAGCATTGCTCTAACAGAGGCTTGTTAGGCTTTAATCTGAGCAGTACTTTAACACAGTCTGACAATAAGGAAATGATTTAGCTAAAACTACAATAGGAGAGCAGAGTTTGCTAAAGTGTGCATTGTATCACCATGGTAACCTCTTAACATTCCATCAGTACAGATACATGTAGAACACCCCTAACAACATGTCACTGCAAAGTATTAATAATGCCAAAGACAAACCTTTCTATCTCTAATTTCCTTGGGATTTTTCCAGAAAAAGTTTGGTATGGAAGCTGAACTTTGGGCAGGTCTCCACCAGAGCAGAAGTAAGAGGTCTTTGCTTGCTGGGATGTGGATTTGTCATTAACCTTTTTTGATTTACTCCCTAGAGACAAACCATTTTCAGAGTTAACTCAACAAGAGTACCAGTACAATGTAGGCAAGTCACGTATGTAATTCATGTTTTGCACCTTTTATTGTATTGATTGACTGACCTTCATCCTGAAAACAGAAGTACAGACGTTATCATCAACGATACAACAAGAATAATAAAATGCCAGAGCTTTACCTGAAATACAAACGGGGATATGCTTGTAGTATACAGGCCAGTCTGTTCAAATATAGGATATCTGAGCTTAGAGGAACTTTTGGGAGGTTCTGGTCCCATTGCCATCTATTGGACAAAAAGTCAACAAAGAGTGAACGTACAAAATATTAGCGCTGTATTTAAACACGCTAAAGTGGCGATAACCATTTGTTAGTTCAAGTTAGCATTAGTAATTATTTATTGTCAAACTTGATAGAACAACGTAACTAACGTAAATAACTTAGATCTTTTTTCAAGTCCCCCCTTACCTTCGCTTAATTAGTTCATCAACTAGCTATCTTCAAAGTTGAATACTTTTCTTCGACCGAAACAAAATCTCAGTTTCCAAACACTGCGCTAGTGCGGCTGCCATGGAGACGCTAAAGGCCCGTTCAGACCAAAGCGTGAAAGCGTCCACTTTCTATGTAAAGTCTATGTGGACGCGCGACTAGAGCGTCCTGCGTTTTTGCGGCGCGTTTTCGGCGTCAGCGCGGCGCGAATCTGGCGTCGACGCGGCGCGTCTTGAGCGTTTTGGCGTCAGCGGCCAAGACGCGCGTCCAAAGCGTCAGCGTCAAGAAGTTGAAAATGCTGAACTTTTCGCGTCAGACGCGCCGCGTCAACCAATCAGGGACGAGTATCCAGTGACACTGCGACGTTATTATCAGGAAGCAAGACCCGAGAACCAGAACGAGAACCACCAACATGAGCGGAGCATAAATATATACGCCACAATCACCGAGCCGATCGCGAGGACTACACCAGGACTGGACCAGGACTAAACCAGAACTCGACCGGGACTAAACAAGGACTAGACCGGGACTAAACAAGGACTAGACCGGGAGTAGACCGAGACTAGACCGGGACTAGACCGTGATAAGACCAGGACTAGACCGGTATTCGACCAGGACTAGACCGGGACTGATTCAGTGTCATTAGCGGAGTATAAATATATATACGCCCCAGTCGTTGACCCGATCTCCTCCGCTGATGTTTTATGTTTATGATATTGTTTCGGGAAAAGACCAGTTATGGAGAGGAAACAAGCCCAGCAAAAATACTAGAAAATCGTGAGTAGTACTTAAATAATTACCCTCAGTGTTTCTCATCATTTAAGGCTGAAGGCTACTTGTATTTGCTATCATTAAGCAGTAGACTGAAGCTTTTAAAAAATCTTGAACTTCTGAAGAAAGCAGCATCTGAGTCAGTGGCACCTTCTGAGTCTAAAGTGAATAGACGTGGGTTGAGGAAAAAATGCCTAACAGCTGTCTTCTCTCAGAATCCTCAGCTGATGATGTTAATAGGCATAATGTATCACTTTTCTTCACAATCTTCTGTGTGGATGCTTTTCTCTTACATGTGTTCTTCACTATTTTGCACTGCCTCCTTAAAAAACAAAAGGTGACAAGAAAACTCAGAGAATGTAATTTTTTTTTTTTTTTACAATTTAACCCAAATGATGATACCAATGCCATTGTGTTTCTATTTACAGGACAATCTGTTATTGTACTGCGTCTTCTTTACAACTGCCCTGAGTTCAACTCCCGCCTGGACTGGAGAAACATGAGTTTGCATGGATTTCTTCATTCATTCTGAATGGTTGTCCCTCACGGTACAGATGCAATACATTTTTGGCCTCAACACATGGGAGCTGTTTCCCCTCCTCCATAAAATAAATGAAGGCAGTCTTCAGATGCATGTAGGCAGCAGTTATAAATGTGTTTCACAGATCCTAGTATTTATGTTACATCTTGATGCAAAGGGCCAGTCTTTCACAGGTTTTTAGGTTAATGTATATTGCTCTACTACTTACTGAATGATAATCCTGAGACTTCCCAAAGTTCCTCAGAGGACACACTATTGAGTTGTTTGTAGGTCTATTTTCTGAGCATACTCATTGTGACAACAGTAGATGTGTGTCAGCACCTCAGAGAAAAATAGATTTCACATAAACTGTGTGAAAAAATAGACTATTGCCATGCACACTTTGTTTTACTGTTAAGTGTGATAAAGTACCTTTGTTACAGTATAACGTCCAGAAATGAGTTTACTGTAACAATATTATAATAAAGATTCTGAAACCACAATTACATTAAATGTTTAGTTCCTTTGGTTACTCTGTTTGTTCATATTGTTCATATTTAACATCTTGGAATTTTAAAAAAGCATTATAAGGCATGCTAGGTGACCACAATTTAGAAAAGGAGCAAAAGTTCCAACAGTATAGCAGCAGATTGTCATGTTAAAACAAAGCATAATTCAAAACAACATATCAAACAAAACATATCTTGTCAAGAAATTGTGTTGGTCTCTCAAACAGTTGCAGCATGTGTAGAACAATATTGCGGTTTACAATGAACAAAATGTAAACGCATGATCTACATATATAATGGTTTAATACTAAATATCCAAGAAAATATGTCTTCTTTAAAGTTTTATAAAATGATATACATGTCTACAGTTATAAAACAATAAATGAATTATTTCAAATAAAAATAGCCCCCATTACAAAAACATGTACTGTATATTGACTCAGTGCAATTAAATTACTTATTCTTGATGCAAGTGCTCATCAAGATAAAATACAGTAATTATTACATTCTCAATAAAGTCCGTTGATGGCCATGGGAAATATTTTCATTGTCAAGTCTCAAGAACTGTCAGCAAGCCAGCAAGCCATCCCTAAAGAAGTGTAGCCAGAGAGTACAAAGTTTCAGTAACCTTATGTAGCCCTCTGACTGTCTGTTGGCAAAGAGCTGTCAGTTACAAGGCCAGTATCAGAAGCTGAAGAGTTCAGGTAGGACTCCTGATCAGGGACATCTACAGTTTGAGGTGGTGTTTCTTTCTCTTCCTCCTGGGGATAAAGCTCAGGATACTTCTTCATACACTCCTGCATGTTACGAAAGTGGTCAATGCATTCAGATCCCTTCACTTCTTCTTTACTGTAATGGAAGCATGAAAAGGCTTCTTTGAACTGGGAGCCACAAGGTCCACTGGCCATCCCACCCAGACAAGGGCAGTTCCAGTTGATGTCCCCATTGGGCAGAATAAGGCCTAGAGAAAAATGGCAACAAAACATTTACAGTAAGAGCTGAAATAGTACAAACACAAGTAATGTTTTGAAATGTACCTTGTTCTTCGTAAGGATCGTTGGGGTCATCAGCAACCAGTTCAGCATTACTTGGTGACTCATGCTCTTCCTTGGTCACAAAAATGATGCGGTCTTTGCCTTCCATGCAACAAAAATGCAGCATTGTTTTTACCAGTAGCCTGCTAGTGGATAAACGCTTGAGGGCGCACTTACATTCAACTCTCTCCTCAGATAACCTGTTGTAACTATATTATAGATCCACGGTCATAACATGTGGCCACTATTATGATCAAAACAACAAAAACAAAACAAAAAAACAAACAAACAAACAAACAAAAAAAACTACAAAATAAAAATTCTCGTAACTTGTGATTCAATCACTCAAAGACCTACAACCTGTATTTGGCATGATGGCTGCTATGCTACATGACATTGCCATACATAATGTCACGAAATAAATGATTTAAAAGTAATTAAGCCTTACCTTTTTGCCTACAGTACGACATGTCTGTAGCTGTCGATTTGTTTTCAACGTCTACTTCAGTAAGTTTGTTTTACACAAGTCCTTAATGAAACTAATTTAAGTTCCCGGCGTCCGACGCGACTATCTTTTTTGGACTCCGATCAGGGCGCATGTCTCAAGGCGCATAACAATGACATCACTACCACCTCCCCCTTCTGTCTGTCCATGAAACTACAAATTAATATTATCCATTAAAAAAACTGCCGCTGAAATCTTCAAGATTTTCTTTCCATTTAACACGCCAACATACATAAATATTTTGGAACCCTAACATCTAGCTCCAAAACCCTATCTTAAAGATAGAATTGTTTGTTTACAAGTTAGATCATTAAAAATACGCCTTGCACCGTAACAAAATGAAAGTAAATATGATTAGATTCAACATAGAAGAAACAGCAATTCCAATGCAATAGAGCCTTAGCCTCACTGAACTGTCACAATTGTGATATGTGATGACGTTAGTGATGAATGTGTTGATCCATGTCAAAGAAATTCTTTGAAATGTGTATCTATCTAGAGTTGAAATAATAAAAAATACAATGCAATGCCAGAGGTGTATTGGAAAATCCTGTTTTAATAACAATAATATTTTGTTACATAAAGTAAAAACCAATATGACAGCCCATTCTGTCCCTACCAAACCCACCCTGACCCGGCAGTTTGTGCAGCAATTCATTTTAAGTAAGATGACATAAAGTATCTTTTGGGAGCCAGCTACACAAGGACAACCCCAGTGCCCCCCATATGATCAAGGGATATAAACAGTCTGTATTAAAATATCACAATAAAGAAATGAAGGTTGGCTGGTCCAGTGGATACATTTTTTCCGCTCCCTAAAAAATTCACAATGCTTGAAATCGGTATTTATTTTCTGAGCATTCCATAAACAATTAGCTTTGAATAATGTCTGTGGAAATGTTTTGTTCCTGCTCTGGGCATTCTTCAGCAAATATAGGCAGCAAACATTTATTACAAGTACAGGTAAAAAAGAAAGTTTGATTAACGATACTTTTCTAAACCTTTGAGATACCAATCTGGTTACCTCAGCACTGTCATGAGACAAAGTCTGAAATAAAATAGTGGGAGGAAAAACACACTGGCCCAGCTGATGCATGTTGACTGTATGCACTATAATAATGCTAAATAGGACTTTAGGGGTGTTGCGCCTTGTGTCTACTGTATTTAGAATAGCAAGGCACCCATGCTGCCAACTTCACTCTGCTCTTTTACAAAGATTTCAAAGTATTGATAAATTATGGTAACGGCCAAAAGGATTCCTGTTCCTGAACCAATGGCACCCAAAAAGTCAGCCATGACAGAGAGTCCTCCTATACAGAGACCACCAAAAGCTGCTGCTGTTGGGATGTACCTGGAGGAGGTAGCAATTGTTCAATTAGTATAATAGACTTTACACTATACAGGTTAATTCAGTTGCCAAAAGCTCTGAAACATTACCTGTTAAGCTCATGGACCATAGAGGTTTCTCTGTGTCCCCTCATTACCATCTGCTGTTCCTTCAGCTGCTTTGCCACCTGAGTTACAAAAATATATACACATGATTAATGATGAAGACAACAACTGCAGTTTAACATAAAAAAAAACCCCTAAAAAAAACCCTCACATCTTTGGCAGAGGATCCTGATACTTCAATCCATGTTTTGGAGAAAAATGCACAAGAGCCCAGCATAAAAACTATGTAGATAACAGCATGAACAGGATCATCTAGAACAGAGCCAAAAGACTCTGGAGGAGAAAGGTAGTAGCAAAGGCCCCCCACTGGGTAAGCACGAGCTGGTCCACCACTAGAGGTATCCTATAAAGACATGTCAATGTTAAAATTAATCATTAATTATTAATGAATTAATTAATCATTGCATTTATATAGTGCCTTTCAAGATACCCAAGTCCAATAATCAGTACTTACAGACCAGGTTCCCAGGAGATTGACCAAGAAGTTTCCACTGAAGCGTGTTGACAACATCTGGGAAATGACATACAAATTTGAGACTAGAGCAGATTGCAGAATGATGGGAATGTTGGAGGTGTAGAAAAGTTTGATGGGGTAGGTGTTGTACTGGCCACGATAACGTGCAGACTTTATGGGCAAGTCCACTCTGAAGCCCTGAAAAAACAAGAAAAATATATTTTTGATTTGGTTAAAAATGCATTCTAAAGAGAAGTCTTGTACTGTATGCAGCATTCAAACCCTACTGTTTTAAAACAGAGCTATAATTAGTTTCAAAACATGCTAATCATCAATATATGCTTGAGATGCAAAAGGAGTGAACCCATAATATTAAAAGATATACATTTTGCATCATTAATGCAAATTATACTTTATAAATATTAATAATCCGTTGGCACAAAACAATGTCTTCCTCCCCTCAACACCTCAATGACGTTCAAGCATCTGACTTAAGACGACAGGTTTAATAACATAAAACAAGATTCAGAATTTGTTTTGTAAAAAAGACAATTCCAGGTCCAGACTTTTTTTCTGCAATGAGAATATCATCTTACTTGGAAGTATATGACCACTGCAAAAACAAAGACAGTGGCGATGAGATTCATGAGGTTGGGCAGGTTCTGTCTGTAGAAGGCTTCTCTCAGCGCACGCACTTTGTCTGTGCGTGTAGCCAGCAAGTGGAATAAGGCAATGATGGCTCCCTCGAACTCAGTACCTTGAATGAATGAATGAATGAATGAATAAGATTTTATTTTTTTACATTTAACCTTTCATTTAAGTATGAATGTATTAATTTCAGCTCCTTTACCTCTGCCGGTGTTGACGGTCGTAGGGCTAAAAGCTTTCCAAACAATAGTTTCACAGATGTTAGTTGCAATGAAGAGAGAAATACCAGAGCCAAGACCATAACCTTTCTGCAACAGCTCATCCAGTAGCAGAACAATAAGACCAGCAACAAAAAGCTAATTTGAAGAGAAAGAATTTACATCAGCTAAGATGCACCAAACATTTTGACTGAATTTACAAATCTATACTGCTTTACCTACCTGGATGATGATCAATAAGCAAATGCCAGCTCCCATCTCTGAAGGATCACCATACATGCCAGTCATCACATAAACAATAGCTTGTCCAATAGTAATGATCATACCAAACACTAAAAAAAACAAAAAAAAACAAACATTAGACATTACTACCTACTAATCACAATTGTAATAACGCATTTGGGGCATATATTTAATAAGAGTATCTTCATCGATCTATGTACAGTTGCTTGCAACTGTATTTTTATTTGTTCTTCTCTAACTTGACAGTCACATCTCCACAAGCTGAGAAATACAATCCATAGAACAGTAATCACTGTATAATTATAGGAATACAAATAAATATAGTCAAATTTAGTATCTGGTAAAACTGAAGGTAATAAAGACTATGAATGAAAATCTTGAAAAGAAAAAAAAAACCTACGTTTTTGTGCTCCGTTGAACAGCGCTCTGTCTTTTGGAGTGTCCCCAACTTCAATGATCTTGGCCCCAGCCAAAAGCTGCATGATGAGGCCCGATGTGACAATGGGTGAGATACCCAGCTCCATCAGTGTACCTGAGCACATTTTGGAATCAACAGGTATTCTCTTCCTTTCAAATGATCAAAAATGCTACTTACAAACCAAAACTTCAGAATAATTCATATTTTAAAAGATAGTATTTTGTTCTAATTTTTATATGTTAGGCTCCAGTAAGGGAAATCAGATGTTGACCTTTGACATAACATGTTTTCTGCTAAGCTTATCTGAAGGAATTGAGATAACTATGTGCAAGTATATGTCTTTTTCAGAACGTGATAAAACCTTGTCTTCACAATAGGATATTTAATATTAACATTATTTCAGTACCTCTGTTGGAAGCCAGAATTACTCTCATCCAGTAGAATGGATCTGCAGAGTCTGATGACATAATGCCAAAAAGTGGAATCTGAAATCAATTGGATATTTCAGTAACTAAGAGCACATCTACATGAACCCAAAGATTAGTTAAAAACACAAACCTGGCAGCACACTAAAAAAATGAATAGTGTGATGGCTGTCCATAGCACCTTTTCTCTAAACTGAATCTGAAAACAAGGAAGAAAAAAATATCTAATTAGTTGTATGGATTAAAGACAAATCAAATGAAATGGTTTGCAAATAAAATGCTATGCAATGTATCATTAAGTATACCTTTCTTTCAGGTTTCTGGATTTCTGGTAATACAGCACAGAATGGCTTGATTACCTCTAAAAATTTTACTGCAAAAAAAAAAAGAAAGAAAAACAACACATTACTACAATATAATCATTCAGTGCAGCTACACATACTTTGACAATGGTAGGTATCCAATAAATATAATCATGTGCATTTCTAAAAGTCCCAAGGGAAGATTTTAATGAAAAAAGTAATACCCTGAATAATTAAAAATTTTAACTGAAATCAGCTTCAATCGCCTCGCACCGAGCTGCAAAATCTTGCCCTTAGGCCTTATATTTGACGTGTCTTTTTACCCCTCCATCTGTTCTTTCAGCCTGCTTCATACCTGGTAACAAGTCATAAAGTCAGCACCTAAAACAGGCTTATTATTTTGCAGGCTTATTGTTTGTACCTAAAAAGAATCGAAATACAGATTAACTCACTTCGCTGACAGATACCAAGTCGAACACGATAAGCGGTATCTGTTACTTGTGTAAATCAGTGTTATTGACAGTGACAGCATAAAAGGAACCAAATATAGTCTGCAGATGACTTTGCATCTCAACTATACGATGGAGTCTGAATTGCAGGTGAATATTCTGATGATCAAGAACACATTTAACCACTGTAAATATCAAGAGCCATCGTTATTTCATTCAGCGAGAGCAAGCGAGTGTTAGCATCAAGGTAACTCTCAAAGAAAAAAAGAAAAGGAGCCTAAAACGGGAGAGCAAACAGCACATTTACAATTACAGAATAACTCGTGCAAAATTTAGCACAGTTAAATGTAGAGCTAAAGCGAATGAGGTTGAGTTTTTAACTTCAACACACCGGTAGCAACCATGGATCTGGTAGCAACCCATTAGCACAATCCTGCACAGGGTTAGCCAATTAGCCAACCATTATATTCTTTTATTTTACGTAAACGTGGAATGTTTTAACCTGTGAGGGGAATAACCATACACTTTAAAAAGAGGTACATACTTCCCATTTTGTCCTAAAGCTGATTCCTGTCCTGTGAGTGTAGTTTTAACGATGAGTAAAGTCAATGTGGCTCCATTCAGCAGCCGCTGCGGAGAAGAAGAAAGAGCGAGCGTAGAGAGACACGTCACCAGACCGAGCAGC